GCCCCTCTCCCCGCCTTCAGACCATCGGGGCGTTTTTACGCTGCGCACGGCTCACCCCGCCGAGCTCCGTGTGCGGCGGCTCGCGGCGCTGCGGCTGCCCCAGGGCGGGGGCCGCTCCGCGCGGCGGGGCTCGGGCTGCAGCCGCTCCCAACAGCCGCCCCGGGGCTCAGCCGTGCCCGAGGCGCCGCCGCCGCAGCCGGAGGGTCGCAGCCCACAGCCTCGCCAACACGTGTTCCGGACATAAACTTCCGGGTTGGGAGCAGAATTGGCTGCGTAATTGTGTCCCGTGCGCTACTTTTGTTTTCGGCCCTTCCTCGCTTTTCGGATCCCCTTCGCGGCGTTCGGACCGCGGGGAAGGGCGAAGGGTCTCCCGGCACGGCAGCGCCTAACGGCGCCGAACCCACCCGCCCCCTTCCCCCACCCGCCCCCGGCTCCGCTCCGGCTCCGTTCCGCCCCAGAGCCCCGAAACGGGCGCACAAAGGCGGACGGCCGAGCCCGGCCCGGAGCGGCGGTTCCGAGCGCAGAAGCCGCCCCCGCGCCGCCCGATCCCCGCGGCCCCGGCCGTCCTCCCGCCCCCGAAGTTCGCGCCGCTCCCGAGGGGCAGCGGCCTCCCCCGCACCCGGCCCCGGCCCGGCGAGGACCCCCAGCGGGGGCGGAGGCGCGGCCCGCCCGGCGCCGGGAGGCCGAGAGGCGCTGCGGGAACGGCGCTCCGCCTCAGCGCGGCCCCCCGCCGCCTCGGAGCGCCCCGCGGGCCGCGTCGCGCCGAGAGGAGCGGACCCCCGGGGGCACTGCGGCCGCCCCCGCCGCATCTCGAAGCGAACGCGAAGAACCGACAAACGGACGGGACGGCGGAGGCGGACTTACTCTCTCTCGTTCCTGATCCTCCCGCCGCCGGTCCCGAAAGTCTCCGCCGCCGGCCCCGCCGCTCGCCGCTTTCTAACTCCCGGCCGCCATCTTGGCCCTCCCTCCCCTCTCGCAGGGGAGGGGGAAGGGAGGGGGCTGGGGCCGCCCGCCGCGACGCACCACGTGACAGCGCCGCGCGCCGCTCCCACGTGACGCCTAACCCGCCGCTGGCGCGCGCTCCGTACCACGTGATCCGCGACCCCCCTACACTCCGGCGACCTAGCGGGTCACGTGGTCGCCGCCGCTCTCTCGCGCGCCCATCCCCCACTCCCTCCGCCGCTGCCGGGTCTTGGCGCGTTCGCCTTGCGCTCTGCCATCACGTGACGTGCCGCTCCTTTTCTCGTCCCGCCTCCGAGGCGGCTAGTTCCGGGAAAAAAAATAAAAATAAAAATAAAACCAGCGAGCTTTTCCGGCATCCTCAAAAAGCGACGTCTGAGCGAGCGGTCACGGCCCCAGGGCGGCGGCGGTAGTTGAGAAGGACGATCCGGGCCCGGTTCCCGCTGGGTGGGGGAGGGGAAGGCGGAGGCGAACGGCTGCACGCGGTCACGTGATCGCGCCTTCTTCAAGATGGCGGCTGCCGCGAGAACGCAGCTCTCTCGCGAGAGCCGCCTCCTTGCGAGGCATGATGGAAAAAAAAGAGGGGGCGTGAGGGGGAGCTGACGTGAGGGTGCGTAGTACGCAAGCGCGGGCCGCGGCCGCGCTGATGAGGCGCGCGATGCTCACGCGCACGCGCACTGTGAGGCGGCGGCCGGTGGCGGGGCGGGTCTCGCGTCTCGGGGCTGCTCGTCAGCCGGTCCGCTCGGCCCTGTCTCGCCGCGTCTGACGTTGCTGGGAGCGTTGCTGTGGAGCTGGGCCTGGGCACGCTCCCGTGGGAGCCGGCTCCCGTGCCCTGCCCTGAGATGGGAACTCCGAGCTCTTCGGTGTGGTGGGAGCACCTCCGGCCCCGCCGTGCCCTCACGGCTCCCTGGTTCTCCGGCTTTAACCTCGCAGCAGCTCCTGAGGAGGAGGAAGGGAGCAGCGGAGCTGTGTGGGGAAGAGACGGCCGGGGGATGTGCTGGCCCACGGCTTTTCCCTGCCGAGTGTTCTACGGGCTGCTGATGTGAGCGTTGCTGCTGCGAAGAGCTGAGCGCAGATCCTGGTGGCTGCTCGGGCTAATTGTGCGTCTGGAGAGAGCTTTTTACCGTTACAGCCCTCAGACATTTCTGTTAAGCAATCCTGAAGTATTTCCCTGCTTTTGTAAGGACAATTTCAAAGAGTTTTGGTGTAAAATTTAAGGAAATTGTGGGAAGCCCTGAAATCTGCTTAAAACATTAAGTACTGCTCATTCAGCTTCACCCAAGTTGGCTTTTTTCATTACACAGGAGGATTGAAATAACCAATGAGGGTTAGACTGAGCTGTCCAAAGGCAAAGCGACGTCAATCAAACTGATTCAGATTTATCAGTGATGCTTCAGACAATAAGCAGAGGAAAAGATGAGAGCTGTGGGCAGGGATGAGAAGAATAGTTTAAATGGAGCTCATGTCTGAGCTGCTGCCCTCTGTACATTTCAGATAAAGGCACAAAGAAGTGCAGTCATGTGCAGCACATTTAGCACTGAAAGTATCTGTACAGCTCCATACAACTGTGACCAGAAAGTAGCAATGTATGGTTATTCTCAGCTGGGAGAGGTGAGTTGTGGCAGATACTTGCTATTACACATAATTACCACAGAAGCAATTAGTGCTTTTGGGGCTACAGGGGCTTCATTTCCCTGTAACTGTGCCTCTGACAAGTACCTCGCTGAGTGCACTTTTTGCTTAGATATGCTGCTTTTTTACCAATACCAGAAGCTGCTCTGAATGTTCTTTTATAGTTAACACCCACTACGTTTTCCTGTATTGGTATAAAATAATGTTGCTTAATGTGAAGCTCAGCAGATTTCCTCAAGGTGTTTGTTTTTATCGGTGTAGTGGTACAGTGCCTAAAACACAAAATTGCCAGCATTTCATCTTGTGAGTGCAACAGGAGCTGGGTAAGTGAGAACTACAGCAACAAGCTCTCAGAAATACTTAGCAAGCGTGTCTGGGGTGGATGTGAAAGAAATGAAGCTTTCACATTCGGTGATACTCAAATTCAAAATTAGAAAGTTCTAAAAATAGATAAGTAAAGAAAAAAAAAATACCAAACTGGGTAAGCATTGATCAAGACTGAATTAATTTACCGTTAACGTTTTTCTTTCCAAGCAAATCCAATGCTTTCCTCATTAATTTTCCTTCCACCCCCCGCTGCACGATGCACACCGCAGCACCAGGCCGTAGCACAGCGAGGAGCTGCTCTCAGTACTACGGAGGTAGATGTAGGTCACTGGGTTGTCAAGCCCAGAGCGTGCGAGCAGGCCGTGCTTTGCCCGTCCTTGAGTCACCGTGACTGGCAGCTGCGGGCAGACACATCCTCCTGGGGGCTGCAGGCTGCGTGTTTAGTGTTCGCTTTCCCGTCGGTGCCTCCTTTTTGGCCTTAGCTCCGGGTAAGCCCGTTTTGGTGATTCACAGTGTGCTACGGTAAAGGCCGCTTAGAGTGACACGGTTTTCTTTGTTGCTCTAGGGATGGTGATTGTTTAGCTTGCTTTGCCCTCTAGCGGCGGCCTGCGCAGCTTCAGTGCTTTGTTTAATATACGTGGGTCGCTCCGAAAGTAGTGCCTCCTATTTATTTCCATGGGAAAGATAACAGGTGCAAAGAGCAAAATAACAGTGTTTGATAAAGCAAATTCTCAGCTACAAAGCATTATTTGTAACCATACTCTCCACCATTAGCTATGCACTTTCACCATGAAGGAACAAGAGCTGCACACTGTGCTCAGAAATACCTGCACCACATGACACACTGCCACTGTCACCACTGCTGAAATCCACACCCATCACCTCACTGTGCTCACATCCACTGCTTGGTGTCCATCAATGCTCAGCAAGCATCAATGAACATCAATGGGAGCCGCTTTTTCTGCATGGAGAAAGTCAGTGACACACCTTTGCTCCATACTCACTTCCATGTCAGATGCCATTGTGTCACACTGCCCCTCTGCTGCCATCTGTCACACAGCAACAAAATGTACTGGGATGTTGGCAGGAAGGTTCAGCTCTGCTGCCATCCCACCAATATCCACCTCTGGTGTCACAGGGCCAACATCATAAAATAGGAGGTATTACTTTTGGAGCAGCCCTTGCACACGTATAAAACATTATGCTATGAAAAGCATTCCAAAGTTGCTGCAGGGAGGAAATCATCATTAGTAATTTATGCAGTATTTTCTTCAGTGACATCCTAGTTATGTCAAAACAGCAGTGTTAATTCTGTTGGAAGAATCAGACCAGAGTCTGCCAAGAGCTCCAGTGCTCAAACAGGGAAGTTCACCAACATGGTGCTAGAGTAGAGAAGTAGTTCACCAAGCGATGGCCTATCGATGCCCTCCCGTATCTGTGTCCTCTGCAGTCACGTTGTGCTCCTGGATCTGGTTGATAATGTCACAAATGGGTGCCTGAGGGACAGTGAGTGGCCTGTGGCTGCTGATAAGCTGGCTGTGGGTGACCACTGCTCCTGCTGGCAGCACACCAGTATTGGTCTGTAAGCTGAGTGTACAAGTCCATGTTGTTAGATAGGTCTTCAAAGAGCTAATGCTGATAAGAAAGATTGAACATAAGCCAGCAGTGCACCCAGGCAGCCAAAAAGCCCAATGGCATCCTGGCTTGTGGTTGTCTTTTGTTGCTCAATATACAAGAGCTGCTCCAAAAGTAATACCTCCTATTTTATGACTTTGGCCCCGTGACACCAGAGGTGGATATTGGTGGGATGGCAGCAGAGCTGAACCTTCCTGCCAACATCCCAGTACGTTTTGTTGCTGTGTGACAGATGGCAGCAGAGGGGCAGTGTGACACAATGGCATCTGACATGGAAGTGAGTATGGAGCAAAGGTGTGTCACTGACTTTCTCCATGCAGAAAAAGCGGCTCCCATTGATCTTCATTGATGCTTGCTGAGCATTGATGGACACCAAGCAGTGGATGTGAGCACAGTGAGGTGATGGGTGTGGATTTCAGCAGTGGTGACAGTGGCAGTGTGTCATGTGGTGCAGGTATTTCTGAGCACAGTGTGCAGCTCTTGTTCCTTCATGGTGAAAGTGCATAGCTAATGGTGAAGAGTACGTTTACTTTTGGAGCAACTTCCATAACTGTCCTATTTAAAGAGATGATGTGTGAGATATTGCAAACCTCCACTATGACAGCCACTGCTCTGCGGTCCTTTGATGCGTGCCATGTTGACTCAGTGATGCTTTAATCATCGCTATGGTCATTTACCGGTTCTGCAGCACGTACCCCAGGCCTGCCCTTGGGTGCTGAGCCATGCGCTGATGCTGCAGGTCCCTCGAGCTTTGCTGCTGATTTTCTCACGTTTTATATATGAAAAAAGTCGATCAATTTCGCAGCGTTTTCTACCCACGTGGCGAGGCACAGCCGCGGAAGGGCGTTCCTTCCGGGGCCGCCAATCAGCGCGCCGGTTGCCCTTCGCACGGGCCAATCAGCGCCCAGGGGACGCACATTTAAACACCGGTCCCGGGAGCTCGCACCCTCTTCAGTCTGACAGCCGGGGGGGCGGGTCGTAGTTCTGCGCACCAATCGGCGGCGCGGAAGCTGTTATCCGACACCCGGTTCAGCCAATGGGGGTGCGGCAGGCAGCGCGGCGTCTCCCCGCGGGGCGGTTGGCGGCGGCGGGGGAGCTCCCGGGGTCGGTGCCGGGGGAGCCGCGCCGCGGGGGCTCCTGGGCGCCGCGCCGCCGCCGAAATGGCTAAAGGTGCGCAGGCGGGGCAGGGCTGGGAGCGGAGCGCTGGGTGCCGCTATGGGGGGCCGGCGGCGCGCGGTGCGTACGGATGCGTCGGAGATGGGCGCGGGCGCGGGGCCGGGCGGCGCGGAGCTGCCGGCGGCGCGGAGACCACTCCCGGGAGGCGCGGAGCGCCGGGGCCGGCGGGACTCCTCCCCCGCGCGGTGTGCGCAGCTCGCCGGGAAGGGGCTGGGCCGCCGCGGCTCGCCCTGCCGCAGTGAGCCCTTTAAACATGGCGCAGGCCGCGGGGGCCGGGAGATGACCGCGGGCGGCGGCGCGGGACACGGCTCAGATGCCGCTCTTCCTTCCTCGCTCCTAGGCAGGAACATGCCCAAGGCCAGGGCGGGCGGCGCGGAGAAGGCGAGCCCCGAGAGCGCCGAGAGGAAGAGCCCCGGCCGCTCCCGGGCCGGTGGGGTAAGCGCTGTTTGGATCTGGGGCGGGCGCGGACGGCGGCCTTGGGAGCCACCGGCGCGGGGCTGTCCGGCGGAATCGGAAGCGGGGCGGGCTTCGGCGCGGCCGGGGTGCGCTGTGTCCTTCCTGCCCTGCGAGCGGCGGGAGCTGCTGTCAGTGAGCGGCCGGGCCCGGGCGCAGCCCTGCTCCTCTGCTATCCCCGCTGTCCTCTATCTCCCCTAGAGGCAGCGGGCCCGAGCTCGGTAATCGCTTTGTGTTTAAACTGCTTAAAATGCTGAGATGAATCTTGGCTATTGCGTCAAGACCTGGGGATCCTCAGCAACCCTTAACGTGTGCTGTTGTGCTGAGAAAATCCGTGCCGCGGAGGCTCTGAAGCCCGGCACAGACAAAGACGTGGCAGCCGGGAGCGCCGTGCTGCAGGCGGGGGCTGGGGGGGAAGGGAGCGGCCCGAGGACGTGCTGGTGTGGCCCTGTCAGTGTGTGCACGGAGCTCCGTGGGCAGGTGGGCTGCTGCTGGCCTTCCAGGAGATGGCCGGCTGTGGAGCTCCTGTTAAACGTCAGGAATTTCTCAGTGTTGGTTTCACTACCCGTATTTGTTAAAATCCGGTGTTGTTGTACGTCATCCTTAAAGCCCTGCTTCCGTGAATAAGCCAGTCTCGTTTCTGATGGACTTCTCCCATTGCGAAGGTGGAAAGCTTTGACTTTTGACACCCAGGCTTCTCAGGGTGTTCTGCTGTAATCTTAATTCTTACTGAAGCTTTTAACTGATCTTATTTTGTGTGTAGTTGTGAACTCTGTTACTTGTTTTTGTTAATAATTAAAATTTTCTTATGTGCTCCATGCTTTGTTTACTTCATTGGCTCTTATGTGATGAGGTGTACCAGAGCATTTATTTCATCAAATGGCTGTATTTGAGCTATTTTACTCATTAAGCAATGGGAGCCTTTGGATGTTTTAAAAGAAAATGCATGCGCAACTTGGTGTTTTTTTATTTCAGCTGAGTTGCAGTATCTGTAAGTGCTTTCACTTGAGTCAAAATACAGCCAAGACAAACTTGTTCTGGCCAAGCCATGGCAGTTTGTCCCAGTAGTGGGGCTTCACAGCTAAAATCCCTGTGCCTGACATACCTGCACAGTCAAGCTTGGCCTGGTTGCAGAGAATCATAAAAGCAAAGATGTCACAACTCCTGTAAGCTTTGCTAAGTCTATGTTCCACCCTACTGGGGTCTTCAGCCTGAACCAGCTTTTGAGCCCCAGCTTTGTGCTGTTTGACTGTGCCAGAGGGTTTTACCATTTTGCTGGCAGGGACCAAGTGCTTTGCCTAGAGTATTGCATGTTTCTTATGCCATCAGCAGTCTTTTAACACTCCATTTTATACAATATAATGAATAAAAAGATAGCACTGCTCATCTCCCAAACCTCAATGAGAGGTGTCACTCAAGGTAGACTGAAAAACTGTCTTCCAAGCTGCTCAGTAGAGCATATTGGGGACCATTAATTGCAGTAACATTTGATACATAATGAACACTTGGGTAAGCTCATGCTTCCTTGGCTATGTGAGGTATGTGTTAGGCTTAGGCAGTTCCTGCTGTGTTATTGGTGTTTTCTTTGGCTTGCTCTCTTTGAGCAGCTCAGAGTTCATATCTTGAAGCAGAGGGTGGAAACTGGTGTTCATTATGGCTCTCTTATCCTACCACATTGCACGTGAAAGCCCTTTTGAACTGGGAGGTTTGCATTAGTAAAGTTCTCGGAGTGCTTACCCAGGTAATGTTTTCACATCATAGAAATAGCAATGGTAGCAAGGATGATGCATTAAAGCAGTGTAACTTGCATTAGCACAGTCAGCTGTCAGCCCTGCTCTTTGCAGCACGTTGTGGATACCAACTGGAGGCTCCCAGCATCTCTGTGATATACTTTTTTTGTTTCTATGTGTGAATCTGTTTTAGGAGAATGTGTTTACTGGTCAATCCAAAATCTACAGCTACCTGAATCCCAACAAATCTCCTGGTGCTCGCTCCCCGCTTCAAGAAGAAAACTCTGTCATGTATCACGAAGTGAAATGTCAGGGCAAAGCACTAACTGAAACCAACAGGAAAGGAGATGGTAAGATTGATCTTTGGATTGCTTGCTTTGTGGGATGTGCTTTCCTTGCCACTTGAGTTTTAGATCTGTAGGGGGTGGGCAGGGGAGCTGCCCCAGTTGCTTTCCCAAATCCTACAGCTCTGTCAGCAAACAAACTCTACAGGGATAATGGTGTCTTTATCCTTTTCAGAACTGAAGTCACAGATTTACCAGGTGATTATGGAAAGCAAACAAAAACCCCACAGCTGGTTTATGTTTAAAGGTGTGGTTGTTAAGTGTGGTAACTTGTTGAAATGTTTTGATTCAAATGTTATTTGCAAGTAGATGCTTTAAGCCCCATTGAGTACAGGAGGCTGTAACTCCCAGATTTCACCAAGAAAGTCAAGATGGCTTTAGTCTTCCCCACAGTGGGTCAGTGGCCTTTCAGCAGTGCTTCATTTCTCCAGTGAGATTGAAACATCTGTCATGGCCCAAGGAAATTAAACCTGGTAATTGGTTTTAAATGAAAACTTTATTCAGCTTTAAGACATGTCTCATTTACCCTAAATAAGTCAGTCAGCTTAGGAGGATGTGGTCACCTCAAGGTAGGAGAGGCTAAACCAAGAAAATGTAGCAGAACTTTTTCTTGTAAGCACCTGCCCTTTGGCTCCTGTGGATTTGGGCTGAGTGGTATTGGCTCTTTAGCACCAGCTTCTGCAGTGACTGATTGCAGCAGTGTGGGGTGCAGGGACTTGTGCTCCTTCAGGGCGGGTTGCTGGTTCCTTTATAGCAATTTGAGAACTCAGTATGCCAAGTGCACTAGCTGGCAGGCTGTTTGTACCACTGACTGTGGTTCGGGTTAGGTTTGGGTTGGTTTTACACCCATGACAAAGAACTTGCTCTTGTTCTTACCTGTTCCTTTTCTCTTTTTATACTTCTTTCTATACCGTAGCAATGACTACTTGAAATTCTATTGGAATTCATATAAAAGCACTCTTGTATAGATGATCTTGAATTCAGAGCTGTTCTTTATTTCATTGTCACTAGAAAAAAAGAACAGTGGCAATATAATTGAAGGTGCTACGAAACCAGAAGATCAGAAAGATAAAGAAAGTGGGTGCAATACTTCAGTGGTCTCTTCTGATCAAAAAAACCAAGGAACTGTTGAAGCTGAGAAGACACTCCTGCCCTCAGACTGTGCTGGTGAGGCCAGTGCAAAGCCAGCTCAGAAGAAGATGGTTAAAGCAAAACGTGGACCAAGAAGGAAGTAAGTGACTTCTGGAATTGTAAAAGGTTTTCTACTTTAGGCCATTTTGTACCGGGGGCCTTTATCTACATTTTGCCTTGATAGGCAAATAGAGAGGCTATAGATAAGCCAGACCAGGAATTAATGGTTTGTTTGTTTGTTTGTTTTTTTGCTTTCTTCTTTTTTGGGGGACAGATTTTAAAGAAGATTCTTTTTCTTCAAAAATAGTATATTTGAAAATACAAAATAACACCCAAAGTATGTATCAGTCTTGCAGATGACTATTTCACTATCAAGCAAGGCAAAAACTAATTTAGGAATCACTAAGACTTACTGTTTTGCGGACAAATGGAATCTATCTGATCAGAATCATGATGTTAAATTATTGTAGCTGGGAGAGTGCTGGCTGAGTTGATAACTTTACTCATGTTAATGAAATAATGTTACCTAACATTAATGAATTCATGGCCAAGCAGCTTTAATGACCTACATTTTTGGGAAGGCATGTGGTGGGGACTTCAGAGTTGTAATGTGATTTTTCAGTTGATTTCCAGTGGCATCTAATTCTTGTGGCTAAAGGATTAGTAATAGAGTATGTAGCTTCTGGCTTGGAATGCAGAATACTGATCAGCATGAATCCATGTTCTTACCAACATTTAACATAAGCTTAAAAATATGTATATATTTTAGATATGTGTTTCAAAGGTGTAACTTCAGAAGTAGTTTGAAATGTGTTTCCTGCTTTTCTTATTCTCTAGAACACAAGGGAGAGCACCAAATCGAAAAGTGACAGACTATTACCCAGTTAGAAGAAGTTCCAGGAAGAGCAAATCTGAACTGGAGGTAGTGCTTCTTGATGAAATACCAGTACTTAATGCAGTAGCAAATGTTCACTGAAAGTATTAGGAATGTTTCTAAATACAGAAATACTGGTCCAGTTCTTTTTAGGATGGAATTTAAATGATGCATTCTTGGGGGATGTCTCTTTATTCTGTCTCTTTACAACTTAGTTTTGCTAGAAAGAGGGATGGTTTGGAAAAATTGAATGTCATTGGCCAATCATTTCCTGTTAGCTATGGAATAAAATACAAAAGCTACCAACAAATAACTTGGTCCTGTTGTTTGTTTTTTTTTTTGTCTTGTTACTTCCTCAGACTGAGGAAAGGAGGAAAATCGATGAACTAATTACAAGTGGGAAAGAAGAAGGAATGAAGGTAACAGCAATGCTAACCTGAGTACTGTGTATTGTTCATACAGTATAGCTCTTAAAAGCACAGTGGCTCTCAAAAAGCAGCAGTGTGCAGTTCACACTGTGGCTTCTAGGATAGTGACATCCTTGTAAGAAGAGTTGTACAGCTCACAGAAAGAGGCAGGAAGAATCAAGTGTAACTAGTGGATAACTAATTCAGTTTGTGTGATTGACCTTTCTATACTTCTGTCATCTCTTCTTCCTGTGCATGCTAATGGTAACATTGAAATGGAAAAGCCTAGACATTCTACCATGCATTTTGCACTAGCTATGTTGCATCCTGAAGTCACTCTTTCTCCTCTAATACAGTAAATTGTGCTTCAACAGCTTTATCTGTGACATCGAGTTGCTGTACCATGTCACTTTAATGACAAATGTCATGCACTCCTTTCCTAGTAAACAGCTTATTGGCAGTCATGAATACCTTCTCATTTCCCAAGTGATTTTTGTTTCTTTTCAACTCAACAGATTGATTACATTGATGGCAAAGGGAGAGGAGTAATTGCTACTAAACATTTTAATCGTGGAGAATTTGTAGTTGAATATCATGGAGATCTCATAGAGATCACTGATGCTAAAAAGCGGGAGGCTGTGTATGCTCAAGATCCATCCACAGGCTGCTATATGTACTATTTTCAGTACCTCAGCAAAACGTACTGGTAAGCTGCTTTTGCTTTATATGTTATAGATGATCAGTAGAAACTTTTGAATGCTGTTTTTTTTTGTTTGTTTCTTGTTTTCATAGAGTTTTGTTGGTCTTTTTTTGGTTGGGTACCATGAGTTAGGGGATCTTCTTGGAGCACTGTTTTGCTTGCCAAGAGCCCTCTGTACATCTGGGTTAAAAGGAATAATGGACAACTCACATCCCTATTCTCTGAAGCACAGTACAATCTATATAGAGGGATTTATCTACTTGGATGAGACTTCTAGCTTTGCCATGGATTTCTTCCAGAACTGTCTTGTGAAATTAGCCACTCTTCCTGAGTTGGAATCATTTTCTTTTAGAAAAGCAGTATGAACAGATAGGAAGAGAAAAACACTTCCTTCAAGTGTCTGTGGGTGTTTCTTTCTTCAGTACCTGTCACCAACCACACATGCATGCTTTATCACTCCAGTGTGGTTTTTCTCTTTTATTTTTTCACCCTAAACTTCAGTTCTTCCAAAGCCATTGCTCAGACAACTTTTTTCTTCTTCTTTTTTTTTTTTTACTTTCCAAGCCTTGTATGTATTCCTAATTCTTTACCTAGTTTGCACTTTGTTTCTTGTCCTTTAATATGATGTGTGCATGACATGTTCTTGTTCTTCCAGTGTTGATGCTACAAAAGAAACTAATCGTCTGGGAAGACTGATTAATCACAGCAAATGTGGCAATTGTCAAACAAAACTTCATGACATTGATGGTGTGCCTCATCTCATATTGATAGCTTCCAGAGACATTAAAGCAGGTGAAGAACTGTTGTATGACTATGGAGACAGAAGCAAAGCTTCCATTGAAGCTCATCCATGGCTAAAACACTAATTCTTCATCTTTTGGGTGTGGTTTTAGGTTGTTTTTTTTGGGGGGGGCAAGGGGGGTGGTGGAGACTGAGTGCTCTGCAAGGAGTTGGTGGATTTTTTCCTCCATCCTCACTTCCCTCAGCTTTCTTAGTGAACTGCTTATGGTGTTCTGAGCTCCTTGAAAACTACATTTTTACTTTGCAGTATTGGAATTCCTATTACAGATTTCCAAGCAGGCTCAAGTTTTCTCTTAGATTGTCAAAACTTCTGTATTGCAAAAGGAAGCCCTCTCTAAAAAACAGAACCCTCCTGCATAGTGACCACTGCCACCTGAGCATGGAAGGACTTGCACAGATTGGAATTTAGTCATTTGGATTGTGCTTCTGCTTCTGCAGTGAAATCTTATACTCCATTTTTTGGGGTGGTGAACTTGACATTAGCTTTATGACAGCAAACATGCTTTTTATACGCTGACACCTATATCAATGGCTTGACTACTTGTTAGACTTCTTGCAAAGATTTTTTTTTTAATGGATGCTATTGTTTCTATCTTTCTCAAATAACTTGTGGTAGGGTTCTTTTTTTCCCAGTGTGGTATCTCATTAGTAATTAACTTTAAATGCACTTGTGCTGAGGGAAATGGATGGTCATACTGGCTTTTTTCAGAGAAATAACTCCAAGACAAACATAAATGGATTTTGATAGGCTGGGTTGATACTGATTAAAAACGTAGGAATTTAACTTTACAAGAGAATCAACGTTGGACACAACTTCCTAAAATTTGGGATGGTATCTTTTTATAGTTGATGACTGATTCTTGGAGGTGATGATTCCTAGAGGGTTTTAAAGAAGCAAAACAAAAGAAAAAAACTCTCTGAAAATTTTATTACCTTCCTATGCTATTTATAGCTCCATCAAAAGTTATTTATTTACTGTGAATGCTTGAAGTAGAGCATAGTGGTTCTGTAAGTCATCTTTATATGCAGCTTCAAATGGTGATGATGGTGTTTGTGCAATGAAGAAAGTATATTCCTTATTGCCTGGTCCTGTAGGTCTGTCCAGCATGGTCTGGACCCACTGTCTTAAATGGGAGCTGTGTGCTTAGCATCTTGCAGATGTTTTTAACATCACTGTTTGAGAACCAAATCTGTCATGTAGGCAGGCAATATACAATACAGGTCCTTTATGTTAAAGATGAGTTCTTACCAATTAGAATTTTTTGCCAAGGCAGGCTTGGCATGTGTTTAGATGAAGATGGCTGTGAGCCATTGGTCGTGCTTGCTGCTGGAAGATGTCAGCAAGGGATCTGTGGCTCTGCTTGTCTTTTTTTCCTCCATGTCTTGAAGGCTGCAGCTGCTTCAGCTAATGCCCTCTAGGACACGCTTGCCTGTGTGATAGGTCGGATAGCAACATCATGGTTGTATGCTCCAGCAGCAAGAGAGGTGGTGAAGTGATGTATTTTTTAAATGAAAAACTTGAAGACAATGTCTCTGTAAAATAAAGAATATATTTATTATTTATGAAGTGTCTGTTATAGTACCTGTTTGTCTCCACTGCAGATCATTAGCGTTTTGAAAGAAAGCTGTGAAAATCATTAGCCATTAACTGCTTGATGTTATTTACCATTTAACACAAGGCCAGCTCAGCAGAGAGAGCCTTTGTATTTTCACAATTTCTGAATTAACTGGAGACCTGTTACCTTGTTACTGAGTTACAGGTAAGCTTCTTTCACTGCCTTGTTTTAGCTGGCAGTGATTTCTCTCTGGTGTCAGGAACAGGATACTACTGTATGTTGCTGTAGCATCTGTTGTACTAGAGTGCTTCCCTTCAGTCAAAATTGGAATCAATTGCTTCCTCTTGTTCTTTGTTTAAGAATTTGCTTGTTCTCTAGCAGATTAAATAGCTTAACATCTCTGTGCTTTGGCGTCACTTCTGTAAATAACCAGGAGGGAGAATCTCCCTATTTTACATAAAAATTGTCTTCTGAAATGCTTAACTGGTAATAAGTAGCACTGCATCAGAAGATAGTAATAAAGCTGATATTGCACTGAGGATGTCTTTTGCTTTGGTAGGAGCTGTGTGTGTATGTGTCTGCTTATGTCTATATTTTAATACTTCTCAGTGGAACGTGAAGTTATGATTTTTATCCTTGTGCCTTATAGAAGAGATTCATCTTCTAGCAAGATGTAAAGCACTTAGCAGGGAAAAGTGCCCTGGGCTTGGGAGTTAAACTTCTTTGCTTGCCTTTGCTGAAGGCAGCATAGTTGCTTTAACAAGACTCTAGGCTCTTCTATTGTGGCCATAGTTTGCTTCCCTTCTGAGAGAGAAGCTGTGCATCTTTTCTTCACATCCGATTGCATGCAACTTTGGTGCCAGAAAAAGAATAGCCCTAAAAGGTTGTGGTGTTCTCCTTTCTACATTAACTGGTGAACTCCTGCTTCTTGTTTTCAATAAAGAACATAATCAGTGGTATCTTGAAAAGAACAATTGCAGCATTCATTGTTTCCTCCACCTACCTATCAGTGAGGAGTGGTCCTCGGCTGCGTTACAGTCTCTGTACCTCCTTGGCAAGCTGGTACACTTGCATGCATCTACTTAATCTGTGTACTTTGTTACTTGAAGTTGTTTCCTTAAGATATGGTAAACTGAGAACTGTGGTTTTAGGTGTAATTTGCCTCCCCTCCATAAGATTGGAAAATACATCTTAGGATGAACCATGCAGGAAGAGGCAGTTCAGAGCACATGTAAACATCTTCCAGAGATGTGTCCTGGCTGTTGCTGATGCAGTTTTCTTTTTTCCCCCTCTAAACACACATGCTGTCCAGAAGATGCATTGAATTCCTTCCTTGCTACTATGTTCTAGAAAATGTCTCTGAGATATGAACAAGGCTTATTAGTATGTCAGGGATGGCAAAATTTAAGTTTTGTGCACTGGCTGTGTTAACTGTGAACCAACCTAGGTCAGACATGTCTCGCTGGTGTACAGTTGCTAATAAATTCTGTCTGAAAGGAAACTGCAGTTTCTGTTGTCTGCAAAGATGCATTTGCTTTGTGCTTCTGAGCAGATGTGTGAGGTGTCCTATACCTTTCATGCTGTTAGCATACAAGAGGGAATCAAAAGACTTCAGAACCTGCTTTCACTTCTAAGGAGTGTCAGATCATAGCTTGATTCCTGTCACTGCTCTTTTTATGTCTGCTCACAGTCTGCCGCTCTTGAAATTCTGCTTTTCTAAACGTGGAATTTCAACTGGTATTTTTCAAGCTTTTCTACTGTTGTTTGCCCTATATGATACTACTAGTGACAAATGTTGTTGCTTAAGTTAATACACAGCTTGTATTGCTAATTAGAGGGGAAAAAAGCTTGTGAAAAAGACAACTGTCTAGCCCAGAAAACCTTTGTTGAAAGTGAAATGTTTGATGCATCTGTTCTAGCTGAAGCTTGTTTGCACCTGAAATAATACCAGTCCTTGATGTGATCAAAGTGTGATGCAACAGCTTTTCTTTCTTTGCTGTGCTAGTTTCTTTCATCCCAATCCCAAAAGTCCACTCCTGTGAATGCCCATTTAATGCAAAGAAAGAGTACAAGCAATGTGAGGGCTTTTTTCAAGTAGTTGCATTAATATGAGAATGGGGAATTACTTTTCATGTCATATCAGTGAGGGGTACAACTGGAATTCTTTCCGAGCACTTTGCTGTGAAGGCACATGGATGTCACATCCTTTAAAAAATAACATATCTTAACCTTGTGGAATCACTTTGAGCTGATTACTCCAGTATGTACACAAGGTCAGAGTATGGTAGTACACTTCCATCATAGGTTCTCTTAAGAACAAACAAAACCTTTATATATAAACATTTATTTTTTTGACAAATAATTTCTGAAAGGAATCCAACAATGCAAAAAGTGTACATATGTTAAATGGTTGCTAAAAAAGCAAAGTAAAGCCTATTCTTAAAGAATATTGTACAACAGTTCTTCTGAGATTGTTTATTCTCTACTCTAAGAGTGATGCTTTGTTTTCCAGTTCTTGACTCCTTGCTTCTTCAGATGCTTTCACTGGGCCATTTCTGAACAGAAGTGGCTAAGTTTTCAAGAGTGCTCATTTTCCATGTTTAAAAGAGAACCTGCAGAAGAAAAATACAAATAGAGAAGAAGGACTGTGCTATGTGATTGCCATCTCAGTGTTCTGCTATTTTGGGGAACTCTAAGGACGTGACCTGAGCTAGTGGATACTGCATGCAGCTGCTTGCATGTAGTGTAAACAAACTCCCAGGGACAGCAATCATGAGTCTTAATGTGCTGACAGGTCCCAGGTTGCATATTTTTGTTCTGAAATGCTGACTCTTTGTAGAAAAAAGTGTCACCCTGCTTCTCTATGTGGAGCTTGCTTTCCTGTCGAGTGCTTTTTGAACAGAAAAGGATTTCTCTTATCACGTTTGAATTTTATAGTGAGGAGGAGAAAAAAATATCCAGTCAAGTAGGCCAAAGTTCAGAATTCCCCCCTGGATTCACTGTGTGTGCAGTGTCCTTATCTCAGGCTTTATTAATACAACAACAAAAAAAAGTAGACAAACTTACAGCCGTTTGATAATTGTCTTCTCATTGCTGTCCTTGCTGGTGCCTGGGCTGCTGCCATGGAGTTCCTTCTCCAGTTCTTTAGTTTGGTCATTTCTCTGTGAGATGATCCCACTGGTAAGAGAAGTGGATTTTGTTTGTTTTTGCTATTTCTGTGACTAGCTTAATATCATATTGCTGTCCTGTTCAGTGGACAGTCTGGGATGTGAGAGAAGGTGGCTTTTGGCTTATCCTGTAACTTTGTATAAGTAACTGCACAAAATTAACTGAACCCAAAAGCAGCATTTACACACTGTCTTGGAACAAAGCTCTAGGTCATTAACAGCATATTTTTAAACTTTTCTGCTAATTTTTAACTTGGCCTGTAGTAAGCTATGTGTCACAAATGAGAAATCAAAGACAAGAAGCCTTTCTAGTGGTTGCACAGTGAAGGTAGTCAGCCGAGATGGGGAAGCTGGTGCCTCACTGCTATGCAAGAACTGCATACAGACAGTCTGTAAACTGACTTCTTGGATTTAACTTTAACTTTGTCTTAACCTGTTACAAACAAGGCAAAAGGCAGCCTTATTGAGTCTAAGAGTTTGTTGCTTTGTTATCTCAGATGAAATCCTTAGTTCTCAAACTTTGTGAGGCTAGATTAAAAAATAATTTATTGCTCCAAGGACCTTGTAATACAGCCAGAAGGATAAGGGGCAGAGGTGGGTGAGGAAAACTTCCTTGGAGGTGAAGCAGTTGGTAGCAAAAAGACCCTTCCTGATTTTCATCTTCTCCCAAGCTGCTCCCTTCTGAAAAGACTGAGATTTTGCTCTGAAAAAACTTAGTCAACACAGAGTTGTGCAAGGAACTGTAGCTGCTGGTGTTATTAACAACAACAACAAAACCCAGCTTCTCTTCAATGATAGCAGAAGGGCTTAAGTCTGTTTTCTACATTAATGCCATACATATGCTGGGGGCAAAGGAACAGTAGATATGCTAGCAGGCCCTCATCTGCACTCAAAGGCAAGTTGGAGGAGGAAGTAAATTTCTACTACAACAAAATGGAAACCCCCATGATCTTCCGGTAAGTGGTGTGGCTTTTAGACAGGAGCAGTGTGCACAACTGCTGTAACTATGCAGGTTTTCTCTGCATGAGAACTCAGCTTGTATGCAGAGTTGTAGAAACTCTGGTCTTAAAATTGTTGCATAGAAGCTTCATCGTTCCTGTGCTTTTCATTGCTCATTTGTAGCCTCTTGGGAGGAGAGACGTCTTTTCTTCTAGGGTTGGACAGTACCCAGCCCAATTTAGGTGCTCAAACCTGTAATACATCATCTGATAAGCTCCCCAGAAAGAAGTAAATGTTGCTTGTTCTTTGCTGACCACACCATATACCTTTTGTAGCACTGCAGCTCCTCTTGCACCACGAGAAGTTGAGCTTTCAGCTGGTTACGTTCCTGCAACACATCTCGCAGCTCCTGTAATGTGAACCGAGGCCGATTTGGATCCGTGAGGTCTATCACCATTTTATCTGGTCCCAAGTTGGGCTGTAAAAATAAGAGATGTAAAGTAGGGGGATGTGATCCTGTAACCGGTCAAAAGGAGGGGAGGTAAGTTGCACCAGGAGAGATTTGGGTTTGGGTATTAGGAGAAATTTCTTCTCCCAAAGGGCGGTCAGCACTGGCACAGCTCCCGGGGAGGTGGTGGGGTCGCCATCCCTGTAGGAGCTCAAAAGCTGCGGGGCTGTGGCACTGAGGGACGCGGTTGGTGGCACGGTGTGATGCGTCGGTGATCTCTGTGGTCTTCACCAACCTTAACGATGCTATGTTACAACCACACAGCGGTTGTTACAACTAGCATCCCTTCCTCACCACCCTGATTCGTTTCCCAAGCAGCTCGTTGCTACTTTTCACGCTCTCTCTGCATCCCTATCGCAGCAGCGCCCGCCTGACGGCGAAGTCCGGTTCCAAAGCGTCGAAGCGCCGCTCTCCCCACCCACCTGCTGGCCGCTCCCCGCCGCCCCGCGCCCCCGCAGCGCCTCCAGCTCGTCCCGCAGGCTGTCCCGCTCCATCCTCAGCTGCTCCTCGTTCAGGCTGCCTTCGCTCACCAGCGCCTCCAGCATCTCCAGCACCCGCACCATGCTGAACTGCAGCCGCGCGGCGGCGGCGGCCGCCTCGGGGCCGGCGCTGAGCTGCAGGAGGTCCCGGCCCACCACGGAGGAGATGTCGTAGACATCCTCAGCCGTCAGCTGGAAGGGGCTCTTCCGCAGCGCGCTCTCGGGGCCGCCGTCCTCCTCGCCATCCTCCTCCTCCCCCTCCCCGCCGCGCCGCATGTCCGCGGCCCGCTACGAACTTCCTTCCCCGGGGCCGGGCCCCGCGGGCGGAGCGAACCCCGAGGCTTTCCATGGAGGCGGCGGCGCCCCGCCCTGCAGCTCCCGACGGGCGGAGCCGCGCTGGGCCCGGCCCGGAACCGCCTACGAAGCGGGGCGGAGCGGGACGTGAGCGCGTCCGCCGCTGCTCTGCGCCGCAGCCGCCGAAAGCGGCGTGGAGCCGGGAGGGCTGCGGGGAGCGGCTGAAGCGAACGCGGCATCCCTCGGCTCGGTGTCAGCTGGCGGCGCGCGGGGCCGCGCTGTGAGGAGAGGTGAGGGGGGGGGGGGGGGGGGGGGGGGGAGGGCGGGAACGGGGCGGCTCCGCGTGAGGCCCGAGATCCCGAGCGGCTGCTGAGGCGGTGCCGGCAGGGCCGCGCCCGGTTCTCGCTCTGGAGGGTTTTTGTGAGGATCGCTGCGCTCTGGGAGGCGCTTCTGCGCCGTCTGTTTGCCTTTCTAAAACGTTCAGCGGCGAGCTGCGTTTAATTCGATTTCTTTTCCCGCCAGCGATGAACGATTGGGCGCCCATAGCCAAGGAGTACGACCCGCTGAAGGCGGGGAGCATCGACGGCACGGATGAGGAGCCCCACGACCGCGCTGTATGGAGGGCTATGCTGGCGCGTTACGTCCCCAACAAGGGCGTCACCGGAGATCCTCACCTCACCCTGTTCGTAGCGAGGCTCAATCTGCAGACGACAGAGGAGAAACTAAAGGAGGTCTTCTCCCGATATGGAGACATCAGAAAGATCCGTCTGGTTCGAGATCTGGTCACGGGATTTTCCAAGGGTTATGCGTTTATCGAGTACAAGGAGGAGCGCGCTCTGCTGAAGGCCCACAGAGATGCCAACAGGCTGGTTGTCGATCAGCACGAGGTCTTTGTTGACTTCGAACTGGAAAGAACTCTCAAAGGATGGATTCCTCGGAGGCTTGGAGGTGGTTTTGGAGGCAAAAAAGAATCCGGGCAGCTGCGGTTCGGAGGACGGGACAGACCTTTCCGGAAACCCATTAATTTGCCAAATGTGAAAAATGACTTCTATGGAGAAGGCTCAGCTGAGAAAAGAAACTGGTCTCGAGAGGGAGCAAGGGACTGGAGAACAAGAGATCGAGAGCATGAAAGGAGCAGAGAGAAGAGAGGGCCAGAAAGAGAGCGGTCGTGGGGTTGGGGTGACAGTGAGAGAGAAAGAGACTCAAAAGAGGAGAGGAGCAGAGGGAGAGAGAGGAAGGACAGAGACAGAAGGGACAGAGAGAGAGACCGGAGCAGGGAAAGAGATGCCAGGAAGCAAAGAGATGATGATAAGCATCGATAGCAGGTAGCACCTTGTCTTAAGGGAATGATGGGAAGTTTGGGTATGGCAAATACTCTTTTCTGTCTCTACAGTAGTGTGAGACACGCAATACTGCCCTTACTGCTGCCTGTGGGCATACCTCTGCTGTCATGGTGAATGAACTGATATGGAGGAGGTGACGCAGGAAGAAGCTGTACCTTCTGGAGGATGTGGACATGACTCTGTTGTAGGTGTCACCTTCAGCATGGGGCTGTGAGCTGCATTACCCAGACAAGCAGTGTTCATGTTATTGTCTTGTGCCTTTGACTTTTATCTGCTAGAAGCTCTCTGTAGTGTGGTTCCTAGTGCAACTGTTCTTCAGAGAAATTAAACTTTTCTATTAATATTTTAAAGTGGTGAATAAGAAATGCACGTGTTACCATCCCAACAAAATTGAGTACTCGCCTCATTTGCTATTCGTTTTGCTGCTGGGATCACTGTTCATGAAAGAGCTCCATATTTAGTTCTAAACGTGCCAGATGCCCACTCTCATTTTGTGAGATAGATGCCCTTTATGAAGTCACTTTATGAAGAAATAGGAATGAAATGATGGCAACAAACTAAACTTCTGAAAAATGTGACCCAAAACAAGCTGAAAGGAAGTGACTTTATTTTCTTGAGGGCGCTGGGACAGGTGAGATTTGTAGTAATATTATGTCCTTAAGTAGTTCTGTGAGATGTGAGAGAAGCACGTAGTAAGAAATCTATTTTTTATGTATTGGACATTGTCATTACCTTTTATTAAAGGAATGCAGACTACAGACTAGTAAGGAGGAAAAAAAACTCATTCCTGATCAATAGATGAGCAGTCATTGAAGGACACTGTCATGATTAAATGTGGTCGCAGCTGCATCCACCTCCTCACTGCAGGTAAAATCCTGTCTCCATTTGAAATTGTACTTTTGTCAGCTTTTGAATAGCTGCACCCTCAGCTTAGCTCAATTTGAGGCTGTATTTCAATGATCAGTGGCATAATCCTTTTTCATGGGAAGGAAGCCAGACCTGTGCAGTGCAACCCCGAAGCAGGTAGTGTCATAGCATTCCACACAAAGGAAAAAAAGATGCAAGTCTTGAAGAAATACTCATTTCTCAGAAATATTTATTAAACTGTTAAAATGATTTACTGCCCAACCAAAACAAAACAAAACAAAAAAAACACAAAAAAACCCGGAACAACTTCAGTGATCCTGCACTTTGGAGACAGGATTGTTATGCCCTTTACCTGGCAACATCCTGCTTTCCTTTTTAAAAGCAAATTATAGCTAAATATTGAGAATCTACATGATAGGTCTTCAACATACTCATCCCTATATGCCATCCTTTCTGATGGCACTTTGTGTGTATTAACTTGGTGTTTCTAACATGAGAATGAGGAGCGGAGTGGTTAATGCTAGCAGGAGTAACTAATCAGATTTTTGAGGTAATGGGCTCAGAGATAAATAGGGGAAGGTTGTACTGCTTAGTGTCATTGTTTGAAATTGCCTGCAGATTTGACCCAACAATAGTGTGCAGGGCTCTAGTGTGTGGGACCAGCTTTACATGCACTAGGCCAGGAGAGCTGGTTTTTAATACGTGAGCTTAGATGCTGGGGAAAACAGCTCAGCCTGTCTTTCTGTTGTCTCAGTTCATTGCTCTTAGCTGATTTGAAAAGTGATGTGCTTATTCAGGCTGTGAATCTGCTGCATCTTTGCATTGTTTCTGTTCACTGCATCTCTTAAATCTCTCAATGTGTCAAGTGACTGTAAACTATGCTAGAGAGGACAGGAATCATTCACAATTTATTTGAACTGCCTACAACTATAGTGTGCTTTTTTTTTTTTTTTATTTCCCACTCAATCTAAAAATGAAATCAGGATCTTCACAACTAAAGTATTACAGCAAGTCTTCCCTCCATTTGAGAATTGCCTTTCATGCAAGGGAGGAAAGTGATGTTTTAATGAAAACAGTTTTCTGTAAGCATAAAAACTTAAGATGTGTTACCAAAACGTAACCAGGCAAAATTCTCTCTGCCTAATATTAGCATCAAATGCTACTGTTGCTACATCAAATGGAAATGCCTTTAATATAAGGCCACATTTCTCCCTCCTGCCCCAGGCAATGTCAGTGACAACTGGCAGGCACAGTAAACACTCACCCTACAATGTGCTGAAGGTCTGTGTTCAAAATGAGCAGTTACAGATAGGAACAGAGCAGCATTCAGCCCACTGTGAAAATTGATTTTCTCACACAGCTTCACATCAGATGAGCTAAGAGCCATTTGCTGCCTGTATGCATTAACAAACCTGTTGCTGGATCATCCTGGACTGAGTACAACTGGCCTGCACTAAACCTTCTGGTTTGCTCTTATCTAAGTATCCTTCAGGCCATCCTCAGACACTGAGTGGCTGGAGCTCTACTCCAGCCTAAGCATTGCTTCTATTCTTAGTGCCACTCCTGAGAAGAGGCTCTTTGCAGAGTGCATGCAGTTGCTGCAGGTAAGATGTCAGCTGCAGCCCACAGGCACCTGCATCCAGCTCTGCCTGTGCAGGTTGCCCACAGGTGCAAAGCTGGGTTGTGCACTGCCACACACCGTGCACAGTGGTTACGCTGCATGGGACTTTAGTGTTCTGGTTTAGGCAAGCATGACCTTGGTCAACCCCAAGGGTCTTGCATGATTAATTGCAAAGCAGATGTAGACCCCACCTCCCAGCAGTTCAGATGCATTCACGTGCTGGGCTTTTGATGGTGAGTTAAGAGTTAAGCCCTCTCCACTTGCAGGCTGCCCACACATCAGTCAGTGCCAGCGGAGCAACCTGCACATACAGAATACATCTCTGCCACCCTAAGTAATGTTTAGGGTAGTCAGAAAAAAAGAATACATTTTGAACTGGGGTCATCTCAAAGTCAGTTAAGATAGCTCATGTCAGCTGAGGATGTCTTTTACTCTGAAGTTAGGCAGTTTTACCTAGACAGAAAAGTGGAGTGTGACTTAAATCAAAACCTGCCTATGGGAAGGGGACCTAACTCCTTTATGGCAGCTGTCTGCTACTCTAGGGGAAAGTCCCTGGTAAGAAAGAAAAAATTCAAGTGTTAGAATTCTTCCTTGTAAGCAATTCTTTTTCCATTAATACTGCAGAACTCATGGCAAAAAGCAAGGCACGCTCACCTCATACGTGGGTTTCTTCATGCTTTAGGCACTGTAAGCATCAAGGGAAACGTACACTCGCTATCCCTCTCGAGGCTACTCCAGTTTGTCACTTTCTATCAGGTGGATTTCCAAGTGGTTACTCTGCAAAATGCAGGTGCCAGCTGAACAGGACACAGCAGTGCTGCAACCTGCAGGGAGAGCGGCCAGCTGTGGTATCCCTCTTGGAAAAATTCTTACCAAGTTACAAAAAAAGCAAACAACCAAAAGTTTTAACAAATAGGGTAACAGAGTCTTTGTCAATAGATATTGTACACTGCAAACAAATTTCTAATAATGGCACAGGTCCTTTTTTTTTTGGTTTAGATAAGCTTGTGTTACTGTAGTTAATGCACAAACAAGACCATAGACTTGTTATCCAGCACAAAACAAGTCATCTAGAAGCTTCAACGTCCCCGGGTATCAACTGATCCTACAAAGCTTGGATTCTGTTTTCAGCAGTCACCAAGTAAACAGTGAGTGATCCCTTCTGAGGAGTTCATCTGAAACACAACCACTGCAGCGTGCAAGGCAAATAAAGACCATGAGCTGCCAGATCTGTTCACAGAAGCTTCTTGTTACTATGCTGTTGAGATGTTCTGCAGGAAGCTCAGGCTTTTTGTCACAGGTGTTGCAGGGCTTCTTGTCCTTGCTCTGTGTAGGTGTCATCTTTATTTGAATTTGACCATTCACGAAAAGTATCCTGGAAATGGACGTTTTTCTGTGATGCCTGCATACGTTTCTTATCACGAGAGAAGAAACTAAACCTTCCGAGTAGGAAGGAGGAATAAGGGAGAGGAGGGAAAAGAAAGAATACTGTTTACCATCTTGAAAATACCTCCAACACCCGCCACAGTACACAGCACAACAAAACACAGAGCAAAAAAATCTGCTGGCATCCACAAAAACCAAGGCGGTGAAGCCTGATGGGAGTGCATGTCAAAATGTTATTAGAGATGAAGTCATTGCAAAAACTCAAGCAGTTTTGCTATGAAAGCTTCAAATAAGCTCTAAATGCTGTTGACTCTACAAGTGCAGTTATCAGTTTAGATGTACGTTCCTCCTCCCCCAGCCCCAAAATACAGAAGCCACAAAATATAGGTTAGTTTCTTAGCATAAGTAAAGTGGTATCTTTAGTGTTAAATCTATATAATTTATTGTAAAGCAGAAATAGAGGATATTCTTAGTGGTGCCAGCAGAGGAATTCATAGGATAAGAAAATAAGCCTCCATAATTTTTTCCAGGTGAGCACGTTTTGTTGCATAGACTCAACTGCTGCGAATGTAAATGAACAAATGCACAGAGGTGCACAAGAGTTTGCAGGATGGAGGCTGTAAAGAAATGCACACAAGTGTGCACGTCATTTCCTGTCACACAGCTTGGGTGCTGTAAGATAATGACACACGTGAACCAACAGCCATTTAATACAGCAACAAGTTGCCAGCTTACAACACAGCTAAACAGTACAGTTGGAAAAATCCTTAGTATCATTTTTGTATAGCATGGAGTTACTTGATTAAGCAAATTCAAATTTTGTAATGAGTTCAGTAGAAGAGCTGTTAGCACTGTGCTTAGGTCTGCTGAGAAATGCAAAAGTTTCGGTTCCAGACACCAAAGGTTTGAATTGGCCTCACCCCCTTTTGGTTTTAATGGTTCACTCTCTGTGGTAAACACTGTTTTGCTTGCACAGTACCAAGAGAACTGCTGAATGCTTCTACTAAGAGACTATGTAAATATAAACTCAGCTTTGACAGAAGGTAGGATATCCATCAGGGCATAAACCTGACCCTCTATCCAAACTCCCCTGTCCTCAGTGTTCCTTCTCCAGCCACACACCCTTCAGTCTCCTCTCAGTACCAGGATCCCAACCTTCCACACTGCCTTGTGCAGAGCAGGGAGTTCTGCCTTCAGTGTCCCTAGACACACAGGGGGCTGTACGTGAGTGTCAGACAATGTTTAAGGCAGCTTTCATGAGGTAAAAAAAACCCCACAACATCCAATTGTATGCACACAGTTAAGCATAGTGGAAATTACTAGTATTACTAACATGGTCTACTTGACTAGAAAGCTGTAAAAGGCTGCACAAGGGCAATGCAAGGTAACTAGCAGGACCTGAACTTTTGCATTTCCTGGCTTCAAGTGTGCAGGCTTCATAGGGAAATAAGTCTTTTGCACTTAATTAGTCTCATTTTTTTTTTTAACCACCCTCATCACAGGAGCCCATAAATTCACAGATGGATGGTATGTCTTTTCAGGGCCAGAGTCAATTCAACTGAGAAGTGTCCAGTCACTGAGGCTTTCTGCTGGGCACGATCAGGCTCAGTACCTTGAAGTCCACGCAGAGGACTGCTCCATTTATGCAGTAAGTTTCAAATGAAACTGTTCAGTATTTTTTTTCCCACTTTTTATCATGAAATTAAGTAAGAGAAAATAGCATTTGTAAAATCTTGACACCAAGCAGTATTAGCTTATTTTTAATTCCTTCTGAAACAATGAAAATTGTTCTTATGCCTAGAATTTTTTTTATTGAGAACGTTTCAAAAAAGTGTATTTATGGAGAGGAAAGAAATGTAAATACTGTGTTGCTGCTGTAGATATAAAGACATCCAAAGCAGCAATTCTAATGCAAAGAGAATTTGCTTTAACAGTTATCAGCATCTCCTCCAGAGAGAGTCAAGAATAGGGCATCAGAATTGGTTACTGAGAGTGTACACTCTATTCCCAAAATACATAATTAGAGACAAAATCTACAGCACATAGATAGAAAGACATGGAAGCAACAGTCTATTATTAACACTGGAAATTAATGCAGAGATTCAACCGTTATGTTCTGTGAATCTAACTGATTCGTAACAAGTAATTAGAATGATTTGGGTTCTTTTAAAAGCATTGGTGTGAATTATCAATAGGCTGGCTTAGTAAACTAAGTAAAATTAAGAGTCTGGTTAAAATTGCATGTTGCAACAGTTTTCTGGTGAGTAATGATTGGCTTAGCATGGTAACAGTAAGGCAAAAGGTGAGAAAATGTCAGTACTCGAGGATGAGCACAGAGGACTATGGCAGGTGGTGCACTGACTGGTCATTCTGATTGGCACTTTGTGCTTCTGTGATCCCACAGGCAGCCGATGAGAATGCAACCAGCAGTCCATGTTAACAGAGGGTCATGCAAAAGGAAAACACGGTACCAAACATTTAAAAAAAAAAAATCCTACAAGGGACACAAGTCTTCTTATTGGCTGCAATGTGGGATCATCTGGAATCAATCCAGCTGCTACCATGGGCATTATGGCTGTAAAGATCCTGGTCAGGAAAGTACAGACACAGAAGAGGTAAGACTGGAGCAAGGGAAAGAAAAAGCATTCCATTAAAAAGAAAAGACACAAACATAATACACGGGGTTACTCTGAATTATCACACACGACATATTACAGGGAGAGGTGGATCTGCATCACCCAAGACAGCTCTCCTCAGTGAAAAACTCTTATTTAAAGAAAATGAAGTCATTGAAACAGATTTAATTGCTTTTGAATTTCTAAAAGATACCACTTTTCTGTTGTGAAACAGTCTGGGTTGGATTTCATCAAGGTATTACCACCTCTAGCAATGCAGAGCAGAGTGCACGTTTTTCTTCCCAAGAAACAAACAGGCACATACATAATGAAATGAAGGATGAAGGTGTAAGTTAAGAAATACAAAACAGGACTGTGCCGTGACTACTGGCTATTTGCACAGAAAACAGGGTTAGACAGGACCAGCACTGCAGGTAAAGACTCTACAAATGTTATGGCTGATAGTTTTAAGTTAAAAACCAATATCACATTTGAAATCTTAAAATAACCTCCTAAGCAAGCTACTTGGTTAAAGGCCTGCATATCCGCTCCAGAAGAACTTGCTTTGCTTCACATGCAAAAAAATGCTAACTGCAGGCAGCTAAATATTTGTCTGAAACCTTGCAACTACTCTAGCAGAAGTATTTCCTAGCTGGCTAGCAGCAAGACCGCTTCTTTGTAAGAGTTCAGCACTTCTACTAGGCATTGTACAATTCATGCAATTTAGAGGCTGAGAGAGCAAGCTGGCTGGGTGCTCAGTGCCCAGCCAGCCCCACACAAGCCTGCCAACAAACCTTCATCCATACCTGGAACACCCTCTGTTTTTCTAAGGATTCTCCTCAGAGGTTCTCCCTTGTGCCAAATATTTTTTTGAACTGTGGACTAATGTCAGTTAAAGATTAAGTTGAAATCATGAAAGGCATTTCACGTGTGACCAAATGCAGCTCTCCCCAGCATAGCCACTCTTAACTGCTAATTTTAAATTCAAAATGAAAACAAACAAGTAAACATTGTTCTATCATTTGCAGTAGCTAGAACGTCTGCTTTTACGCATTGTGACACACTCAGTTAGCTGCAGCAACCAGACAGACACATCAGCTTTTGTAGACTGCAAGAATAGCAAGGGAACTTATGGCTGCTTCAGGCATTACGTCAGTGACAAACAAGCACGTATCCTTGATGTAAAAACAATGGGGCATTTTCTGCTCAAAACAGAGGGCGCATTTCTAATCCTTGTACTCTTCCTCCTCAGTAAAGCCTCCTGGTTACGTTATTCCAACAAAACCCTGACATATAATGTGGTAGACAGATGTAGAAATAAATGAGTACAAGATCAGAATGCAGTCAGAGCTTGTTCCCAGTAACCTGCAGATACTGGGAACAAAAAAATATTGGTTATTCTAACTTCTGTTTTCTTTATGTGAGTGCTGCACAGAAACATCTTAGATGGCACAGGACACATCTCATTCCTTGAAATGGTAGAGAAAAAAAGGGGCACATCATACAGGCAAGAATGAAATTTATCTTGAGACTACAGTATCAGTCTCTTGTTTTTGTACTTAGCTTTTTGTTTTGTCAGGAGGAAAAACCTGAAAAAGAAGGCAAAGCAACCCTACTTTCATTCATAAAAGTATTCTGAACACAGATAGCAGAGGTACAAGTTTTTCTCATGTCATTAAGTACATAGACTTTGTGTGTCAGTGTGTTACCTACACACTCACAGGTGAGGTGCAGTGTTCTGCCTGTGACAAGGAGAACGCAGCTCACAGGCCAAAAGAGTAGGTGGAGGTGTTGTAATAGAACAGAACAGATGCCACACATGGGTTCTTTGCTTTTCCCAGCAGTGAAATCTCTCTTTTTAAAGGTCATGACTGCCCCTTGTTAGACACTTTGAGAACTGTTTGGGTTGTAGAAGTAACCAATCTACAAGCACAATGTTGATGACACGCACAGGGAAGATGGGGCAAAGAAAATAAACTCACACCTGACAAATCCCATCCAGACAGGCTGTAAGAATGAGACAAATCTGAACACAATTACCACTGTTTGGATTGAAAACACTTATATGATTCCTGTCATGTCTCCCTGCATTGCTTATGTATGCATGCAGAAGGTAGAGTCAAGGCTAACACCTAGAAAGCATGTGCTTTGACTTACAAAACCCCTTTAAAAAGCACTAAAATAATTTAAAGGAAAGGAGAAGAAGATCTGGAGCGAGATCTTGTGAGACAAAGTATTATCACTTCACGTGCAGAATGAAAACTTAAGTCCCAATTCAGAGTGTATTTTCCAGCAATCTGAGAGGAAGGGTTCTCTCAGCAAACAAAGCAGCACAGAGGGAAGCTAAAGACTTCTGAAAATAATCAAAAGTGCCCTCCTGACTTTATGGTGTTTTGGACCAGCCCAGATCTTCCCAGGAAACCACTCTCACAGGGCTGCTGCTATTATAAAACAAGGTCTGGAGTTTATGGATGTGAGGATGGAAGAGCATTTTATGGGCAAACAAATAAAATAATGTATGCAGTTAAAAAAGTTAAGCATCCAGTATCATAACAACTCCAAAGGTTTAGTTTGGAAAAAAAAACGTGGAAGGAAAGAATTTTGACAGACAAATGGTTTGGCTTACACTGACTTTATAAGCAAGTTGTAACTGGTACAACTGACAGTAAACTTAGCTTTTGGACAGCACCATTAAATACTTCACCAGAAGAGGGTGGGATTCTTTATAGCCATAAAAGCTGGCACCCTCTCCCGCCAGGCAGTTCAGCAAACAAAAAGTTTTTGTGCTATACAAGTGCTTGTCAGAATTTAAAGGCTTAGATTAACAGGGAAACAGGCACAGCAAGGTCATGGGGAAAGCTGACTCTCCACACCCAAATACTGCAGGTAAGCAGATGGTTTTACTTGTGAACAACACTTTCTACACATCTGCTGAGCATGAGCTGGGGCCCAGTGGTTTGCCCGTGGCATTCCACCACCTTAGGGACTGTGCATTAAGGAACTGGGACTTCACTTAAACAAAGCTCCAACACTCCTTTCTGGAGAAATCACAGCCACTCATTGTCTGTCTCATACACAATAGAGATGTGGCTACTTTAATTTTGAATTTCTTCAAAAACTGCCCAATCCATAAGAAATGTTTCACTTCTGTAGACTATTTCCAGGATCCTTAGAAAATATGCTACTTACAGTCGTTTGATTCCAGACTCAGGCTGAGTTGAGGGTTTTGATTGAATTATGGGTGTAGGTTGAGGGGGTCTAGTTTCTTCTTCTGTTTCCTCACTTGAAAGAATGAAAAGATAATTAATGTTGTCCTCTCAAGCCATGGAAGCTTTAAGTTCTAACAGTCAATCTAAAGCAGTACTATTTATGAAGAAAGGTAAAAGATCTGTTCCAAGCTTTTTATATTCAGTGCGGGAAATTTCTGTCAACTAAGAAACAGCACCTAAAATTGGGGCTCCTTTCAATTCTTTCTTTCTATTGTGACAAGAAAAAGCATAAGAAGAAGACAATGAATAAAAATTTTATAATCTCAATTTTAGTCCCAGTCTTATCCTTATTTTTTCAGCTAACATTTATTAAATACTTGTAATTTTTTCCAAAATTGGGGGAGAATATGGGAGTTAAGGAGGACATAGTTTTTCCCAGTGTTGAGAAAACAGTTATAAATTAAAGTAACCTAAAGCCTTTATGCTTTCAGTATCTACTTTCAGCCTTTGCTTGCTGAGAGCACATTCAGGAGCACATCTGCTGTCTCCTAGAGCTGCTCTACAGCTCCTCTGTGTGTAGCATGCAACGGGAGAGGAAATCTAACTTACCTTTTGTAATACAAAAGCTCTTCTTGAAGTAAAAACACTTTAGATTTCAATTCATTCCTCTCATGAAGGACATCTCGGAGCTCCTGCAAAGTGAATCTTGGACGATTTGGATCTTTCAAGTCCATTGCCATCTTTTCTGACTCTGAGAGGCAGTCATCGTTGTTTGATTCTGTCTAAGAAGTGTAAGACAGGCTTTAAATTCATTATGTGAACGCACTTCTGAGAAGTTGAAAGTATCAGTCTATTCCCCTTCTTTCTTTTTAGCACTATTAAATACACTTTACAGGAACAGCAGTTTTAAGAGGAAAAAAATGTGGGAAGAATTCATGCTGAAGACTGTCAGCAGGAACAGCTCAGTGATCTGATCACTTTGTTCTTTCTTGTGCTCAGATGGTCTGACGACACACACAGTGGGAATACAAAAACACATGCCCTGATTGTTTCTACCAGCCTAAACACTGGGTCCAAACTGAGCCACCACACAGGAGATAAGATTTCTTATGGAGAAATTCCTGTGGAATGCAGACTGCTAGAAAGCCCTCTGAAAATGTATAGTCTAATTTCTGATAAACAAGTCCATTTAAGGAATTAATACTTTTAACAAATGAGGTATATAAAACACCAGCCTTTATGTAAACACTGAATAGCAAAAATTGTGCCAGTTCCTTCCAGTTCTTCCCACAAAGAGAAAGTGTCTCCAGATGTAAATATATGAAGCAGAGATTTAAGTTTCTATTGTCCTAATGCTTTTATTTAAAAAAACAGGATTGATATTAGTACCAGGATTTACAAGTTTGAAGAAACACACAGACAAAACAGACCGATTCTCATTTTTCCATTTATTTGATTCCCCCATTAATCCAAATGCATTTATTTATACAGACTGTACTAGTTAAAGATAGATGCACCCTAATGAGAGTTTGAGGAGCTTACTCAAAGTATTCACTTCTTCTTCAGACTTCTAGATTAGAATCTGAGTTGATGCCTCTTCTTTTGATTCTATATTTGTCCCACACCTTTCCCCAAATAATCTTTTTTTTGCTGTATTTTGCTAAGATCAGCAAAGACTGAGCAGTCTGTAGCCAATGCAAATATATTTGACCAATGCCAAGAAGCAACATCCATTCCAGAGTATGCAGCTATTCTAGCTTTCTGCTTACCACTACAATTCCTGTCTAACTATCATCCTGGCAGAGAAAGTGGACAATAACTCTAATTAGAAGTGGCACCACTGCCATGGAACAGAGAGAGGTAAAGAATGCATCCTTTCTCTCCAAAGACTGAAGACACTTTCACATATGCTGGCTCTAGGCCTATGCTCTGCAGCCCTGTTTACAAAGCTGGGTGTCCTGGCTGAATTAAAAGCAATGAAGTCATCCTTTTCATTACTAATACAGCACTTGCCCAATTCAGCAGTGACATGTTGAGTTGCTGTTACATTCCTGAGGTACCAGGGGTACCCCATCAGCTTTTGCCTCTGCTTTCTGATGTACATTCCCTCCTATTACAAGTGAATTATATGTTATGCTCTCAGCTGCAGTCTATCAGGCACGTACAGTGCTGCTGTGCTTCTTCAATGGCTCAGTACTGGAGCTCTTATCAACACAGACAGCCAAACAACACTATGCTTCAGTGCTCCTCCAAATTCTTTCATATCATAAGACTCCTTATCCTATTTTGTGCTCTTCTAAAGGCAGCATTAGGAAAGGGAAACACAGCAATTTCACTTGAGAAAGACAGAAGTAGTGTCACATGCACAAAAGCCTAAAGATGGTAGGAGGCACTTTAAGAATGTGAAATGTTGAAATAAAGCAGGGATTTCAGGCAAGGTAGGCACATTCCACTGCATGCTAGCATTCTGCCCGCAGGTACAATCTGACTGCAGAGTTCTGCTCTCCCTCCCAGACTTCTGCTACAATTTCCTTTCTACTGTGGTTCATGTGCCTCTGCTATCATAGTGCATTGCACCTTCAGGACCCGCTAGGACTTGCAGATTTATATACTCAACAAGGCTTAAGCTACCTGTCAGCTGTTCATCTTTTCAAAAATCCAGACTGCTGGAAGATCAGTTTGTTTTCCTTTAGGGGAAGGGGCTGATCTGAGCAAAGAAAATAAACCCAAATGTACTAACGCAGCACTACCAAAACACTGTCTGCTTTGAATACAAACTAACAGCTGGTACTCCAGAGATTTTGGACTCCCTTACAATGCTTTTAGTAGAATGCTCTAGTAAGCAAATTTGTTCTGCTATTTGGAGAGTTCTGCAGTCTAGTGCATGACCAAAGATTACTTTCCCTAGAAAGTGCAATGTGTCACCAAGTCTCAGGAGAGCTGTCCTCTAATGCAGACATCCTAGTTCTAACCTGTCCTGCCACTCTGCCTTTTGCACAACTGGTTCTGTGTGTTAGAAAGGAGGGTTCTGTTCTATTGGGTTGTCATCCATTCAGGCAGAGCTCTTCCTGTGACAGTGCAGTGAGTGATGCTGATCTCTGTATGCCACACCTGAATAAAACCATGCTGTCCTTGAGCCCCACCTCTGCCTCTGATTCATATCAATCTCATTTATCCAAAGAAGAGGTGTTTGGTATGGAGACTGAGGTTCTGTAAAAGATTGTTTTTAAAAAGTAATTTAAAATGCCTCTTACCTGTATTTCCTCCCCATTTTGGCTGTCCTCACCCTGCAGTTTTTCCCTCAGTTTCCCCAGCTCTGCTCGTAGGGTGCCCATCTCCTGCTCCTTGGTTTGCAGATATGCTTCCAATTCCACCTTCTGCTCAATCAGTGCCTTTCCCTGAGCCTCAACAACTGTGATGCGGTGCCGCAGGTCATGGTTAATTTTCATTAACCTGTTCTGTTGCTGCTGAAGCTGCAAGACATTGATGCAGTTTGTCAACATCCATTCAGCCATCACCCATAGTGACCAAATCCCAAACACTTAATTAAAGAAGTAGTAGTAGGTTCCTATTAAATTTAATCAGAAAAACTCTCCTCACTCCCCAAGCAGTTTTTTTAATATCTAATTTCCTACCACAGTTGCAGTCACTAAAACTTCTTTAATTGGTTTCCAGAGTAAAACCAGGTACTTTTCCCCAAGCACAGGGAATTCTCCAGCTAAAAACAAATTCATCTTTTCCAATTTTTTATTTCGTAAAAGCAAAGTTCGAGAACAGGGTGGTTCTGAATAATATCTTAACCCAGAGCAGAAGAGAGAAAGATAAGACAGAGAAGTTCTTACTCTTCAATTTATAAGTATTTTGCTTTGATCCCTTGGGTGAGGATGGGAAGCAAAAAACATGTAAGGTGGTTGTAACACAGACGAATGTAAGTCATCAACTGATTCCCAAGGTCACAGTGGAGTTTGTGACTTGCTTAAGACTAAATGCAACTAAATCCAAATGCAGCAGAGGCCGCATGCCTGCCCTGACTGCCCTAATCATTTTGGACACTCCAGTTATGCTGCACTCTTCATTTACTGGACTGATAATCTGGCATTGCTTACAAATTTGATATTATATGTGAAAGAAGGCTATAGAAACATGGGTGAGAAAGAAGGGAAACAGGAAGAGCAAGAGCCACTTACAGCCTCTACATCCTCATTTTTAAGTCCAAGTTCCCGGTCCTTTGCTCTGATTTCATCCCTCTGTTTATCTACAACTTCCTTCAGCTTCTTCATGACTTGCCGTTCTCTCTCCGACATTCCTGGTTAAAAAAGGAACACAGAAAACAAACTAAGGACAAGTAGGAGCTGCTGAGACCACTAACAGGGCCATGAGACTTCTAATTCTTCACTGTGACAATGGCTCACACCCACCAAGGACATTGATACGCACTGCTACTTGCTCTTCTAAAAGATCTGTGATCTCTCAAAACCAAGGTCTGGACTACAGGCAGCCTATGCCGTGCTTTGACACATTTCTGATCTTAGACAGATCCCCAAACCTCTAACTTAGTTCCCCTACTTGCAGCGACACCAGACAAGATAGTAGAAACTTGGTAACAGCTGGATGGAGCTGTGCTGAAGCCAAAAAAAACAGAGCCAGACAAGGACCCTCACACCAGCCAGTGCAGTAGAGCACTGGTACCTTCCCACAACTTGCTCTCATTTACTTGCAGTTCTTGAACCACTGCATCTACAAAAAGGTTCCTGAATCCACTTTTCTGCAGGCAGCCTCAGGGCTGAGTCTAAAAAATCAGCTGTATTTAAAAACAAACACAAAACTCCAAAACTGCCATGAGGTACAGAGGAGCTGCAGCGAGACTTTAGACCAGCAGTTTTACCCCAGTAAGAGCCAGTACAGTGAGTGCAGCTATATTCATTACTATTTGTGTAATGCTTTGAGATCTTTAGATAACAGGTGCTATTTAAAGGATAAAGTACCATTTTGGTGTTAATTGCTTTTCCTCCCACTATGCTCACTTTTCTCTCTAACATCTGGTGAGCATCAAAGACTTAATTGTGTGCACTGATTACTACATTATCCTTTTTATTTCAGGAGGAGGGGAAAGGAAAGGTGGGAAGTGTTTGCGAAACAGTCACATCTCCTTACATTTTCTCCAGCACTGGGGAAGTAGGGAGGGAAATCACTAAGTGCCCTAAACGTAATTATCTCTAAATGACTCAAAGTCAAATATCTGCAAGATCTTAAATGGCACACCCAGCTGGCTTCCCTAGACACATCCTATGAATTCACAGCTTCCTGTTAATTGCTGCGATCACAGCATTGTTCCAGGGAGTAAAGAAAGAAAAACATTAAGGAAAAAAAAACGAGAAAAGGCAAAAAAGAACATCCTTTATGTTTATACTTAGGAAACTGTTGACTGGTGTATTTATACAACATCCATTACAGCAGACCAAAACATTGATCAGAGTTTGTGGCACTACTACTTCCTAAATACTCATAATAAAAATTTGCCTTCACTTTGGAAAGGGAATGGTAGGCTCCTCTACAGCCAAGCACATGACTCTTGGCATCCTGCTGCTTGTCTGTATTATCACGGCCAGTCTGAGAGAGCACCTCCTCTCCCAGCAGAGAAACTGGGAAACAGGCCTGCTTGTCCTGTTTGACACATGGGTCAAGTTTGCTTGTGGCATTTTGCTAGGAGAGTGTGATCAGTCAGCATCTTCACATAAGTGCTCTGTTTGAGTTCAGGGAGGAGCAGCATTAATGGATGCTGCAAATTTCTCTTTAACCCCTCCCGTTTACTTTGTATTCTGCCACATGAGCCCTTTTGTATGAATGCTGCTCTGCTCTAATTTTCAGAGCACGTGCACTTTCTGTTTAGAGACCTTCTATTTAGGTGGGATGGTACTGATCTCTCTCATAAACATCTTCATTACATTTAGGTGAGGCTCTGTGAACTATAATGTGACTATTAATTGGCAAGGATTGAATCTCAAAGCCTTAGCACACCTAAATCACTGGCTTCTGCTGCCTGTGCTAAGAACAATTTCTTTTACTAACTGTGTGGTGAGTAAGCAGCCCATTGCTAATCCTGGGAGAGTTAGCAGCTAAGGGGAGACATGATCACAACACCAAATCATGCTGAGATATGAAGATTGGAGCCTGGTCAAAGTTAATCTAGCTAACAAAGCATTTCGCTTGAAAACCAGCCTCTGTAGAGCCTATATGCATCAGATCAAATGACAGAGAGGAGAAAAAAAGCAACATGACTGCTTTCTGACACTGTCCAAACAAGTAATTTGAGACAAACCTGCTCATTAATGACGTAATTTCTTAAATGGAAAGCAATTGAGTTTGATATAACAGTTCTCAATAACAAGTTCAGTTTGCTGTAAATTAATGTGACTTCACTTAAGTTGACCATTTCAGCTAATAAATATCAGTGACCCCAGAATGTCATCTCTGGAATGGATTTGTTTGTTATTATACTTGCGTAGACACAGTAAAAATAACATGAAAAGCATGTGTGGCATTTGCTTGGCTAGCTGAATGTAAAGAGTGTGGCTATATTTAAATACAAGCACATGAGCTCCAGTGAGCTAGATACCCAGTGGAAAAAAAGGTGAGAAAACAAAGGGGAAGATGGTTCTTTATAATAACGTCAGCCTTCATGGCCTGTGACTCATAACTGCCATTCTGACACTTTACATGGAGTTTGTGGGCTGACATGGAGCTACTTTTAGGAGATAAGCTGACTAAGCTGAAAGAGCTGCATTTGTTTTAGAAAGGTAATAATTTTTATTTAAAAAGGAAAAAAAAAAAAATTCCCAGTTTTATAATTTAAATTTAATACTTCATAATCAGCTCCTGAGTGGGAAGCAAGGGTAATTTCAGCAGTGTTGGACAGTTTCATCCACCAACACTGAGCTGCAATTTAACCCCAACCCTCCAGTGTCTGAAAAGGATATCCATTTGTTCCTCATGCTTTGCTGGACCACATGGCTCAGCTGGGTGTTCTGGTTTTCGGACTGGCCAGTGACTTTGCATGCTAAATGTGACATGAGCCTTCTGAGGGAGCTATGACTTTACTGATAATCAGAACCCAACATGAAAGTGAAGCTGTGGCTTGAAGCAGTGTGCCAGAGTCCTGTTCATGCACAAACAGTACAGAGATCCATCCCTTTCCAGACTAACTCACAATCACAGTCAGGTTTTGCTGCTGTCACCATTCTCAGCTGCCCACCCCACCTCTCAGCTCAAGGCCATTTCATCCCCAAAAGCCAAACAGTCATTTTTTCAACTTCTCAGCTTAAACTTCTAGCAAAGTATCACAAAATGGACTTCATAGCCAGCAGGCTCAAATCATATGCTATGAAATGGGAGAGCAAATAGGCATCTGCCCCTTTGGCCTTACTCTTAACAAAGAGCTGCTTGCTGAGCTGTGGGTAAGAGCTGAGGATAGCAATTGTTTCAGCTGCTGCAGTGAAATCTACCTGCAGTTGCCAGTCAGAACCTTTTGTCTCAAAATTCATTCTGCCTCAAGAAAGAAGTTGCTTATGAATTAATCAGTTGTTTCAGCTCCTTAGGATTCACCCACTCCCTGGTTCATATATCTCTTCACCTACTCTAAATTGTCTGGAAGAGCCTTGTACGGGTGAAGGAATCCTACAGGAAAATAAACGAAATAAAATCTCTCAGTTTAGTCTTCTGGAATCTCTGTATGATGAATTGATGTAATTGAGACAAATCTTGATTTTCTGCTTTACAAACAAACATCCTGAATAGATTGCCAGCTGCACTTCTTTTTGTGCATAATGGTGTGAAATAAACATTGCTGAATGGATCATTGTTTGTGTTAGAAAACATAAGGAGGGATTAAGAATTCTGGTTGCAAAATGCTAACTAAAGATAAAAAAGCAACAGACCAAAAAATGATGCTAGACTTTACTTTCAGACATACTTCTCAGCCAACAGAAAGCTGTTCAGCCTTCTCTCTCCCTCTGCTCCTGCCTCTTATGTCTCCAGTGTAATCACTTGTTCAGAAATTTTCTATCTAGGTTAAAAGGAAAAAAACAAAAAACAAAAAACTACAAGCCTGCTGTGTTATGGGAAAAAAAAGCAAAAAAAGCCAGAATGTTTAGTCAAAATATTTTGATAAAGTATTGCTTTTATAACAAAAGCAGGTGCTTAATTTGAAATATCAAGCTTACCTTCATGCTTCTGAAATTCCTCTTCTGTGAAATTAATGTCTTTGTGAGACAAATTTGTCATCAACTGTTTGTTCTCCTCCTGCAGCTGTGCAATTTGGGTAAGAAGGTCCTGTGCTTCCCCTCTCCAGACATCCTCCACCAGTTCTAATTCCTAAAGGATATACCAGGACAACATATTAGGCACATTAAGAGTCTTTGACTGAACTATTTACAGATCAAACCATTATAATTCTTCTATGATTCTCATAGAAAACAATCACTTGAGACTACTTGAACATCTTCTATCTACTTTTCCAGTGCCAGCATGAAAAACCCCGGTCTGTGCTGTATGCTGAATGCATGGAGTCACTTCTTGGTACAAACATTTTTGACACACGATTTACCCAAAGGGAAATTCTTCTCATTTTACTGTGAGAACCTGATGAAAAGGATTGCTGTGTTGGTCAAGATGCCAAACATGAGCAAGAGCCACCTTCCACATCCCAGAAAGCAGCTGCAAAGGCTGTTATAAATGCTCCAGAAACATCACAGCATGGGCAAGGGGGAAAGGGAGGGGGTCAGTGTTAGGCACACCCTTTTGGAAGGAGTAACATCTCTCAGTTAAATTTTTGTTACGAGCACAAGTGTAAAATGAGCACGTGACACTGTGCAGCAAACCCTGAGCTCCCAATCCAAATGATAAACAAGGCAAAACTGTGCTGCTTCTTACAGAACTTGTTCTGTACAGAAGGCTGCAGTGGCATCTCTATTAGTGGCAGTGAGACTGGCCAAAACAACAGCTCCCATTTGTCAGAACACTGTGTGTCAACAGCAGCTGTCACCAATCCCAGTAAAGGTCAAATTAGGACAAAAAGTATAAGTGCTTAAGAAGAAACTGTTCCATTTAGAGCTTGTTCAAAACATATCTGCCATAAGCAATGCTTCTGCAGTGAGGGACATTCTCTGCTCCATTTCATGTATGTGCTGCAAACAAAAAAACCTGCACGCAAATCACTGGAGCCAGCTGAGTCACTCGCTGGCTTTTGCATTCATCCAGCATGTCCCTCTCCTACCTAACAACAAAACACTCACAACAACCCTGCCAAGCACAGCTCCAGGCTAAAATAAGCTCTGCTAAGAGATTAAAGGACAGCTTTCTGCTTTGAAAGTATGCTCCAATAATGGGAAATCATTTTCCTATTGACTTCCAAGCCCAAATACTATGTTATTCCAGCATTTTTTGTGGCATTGCTGTCATTTTATAATATCTCCTTGCATGCTGTTTTGCAGAAAACACTACATGACAAATAAGATTATAAACAACAGATTGTCTAACTGATGACTGATAGACTTCATTAAGAATATTTCATAAATCACTGCTAATTTTACTCGAAACTCTTTACCTTGAGAAATACAAATCTGCAATGAAATTTTATATTGCCAAATACCTCGACTATTGACAGTGATGCTGCATATAACTGCAGCTAGAACAACGTGCTGACCTAGTTTGAAAAATGAAACAGCAGATTTCAGTTAGAAGCATACTGACTTAAAACAACAACAAATAAACCAGACTCTGAACTTACATAGTTCATATGTGACTACACTGTAAAGGCTATACTAAGGATTAACTCAGCAAACTTTCTTATTTATTGCTATTGAAGAGCCCAATGAATTGGAGCAGAAATGAACTTCTGAGCCCTCATTAGCAGAAGTATCAGACAGAGAAGGCAGGAGGTTGATGGACCAGCGGGTGCCAGTCAGCTCAGGAAACCACAGGCATGCTCAGCCAGGTTTGAAGGCAAAATGCATTCCCATGTGAAAGCTGAGTGCTAAGGGACCACTAAAAACATGCCTGGATTGGCTTTTGGATGCTTCTTGTTCACAAACATTTCTCAGTCTCTGGCCTTTTCTGCTTACCAGTATCTGGGACATAAGAGTCTTCTAACCTTGCAGTGGGAATAAGCTGGATGTGACACTGTAGTGACACAGTGTGCTGGCAATCAACGTGATTTAAAAAACATATCTGTATGCATTGCATATTTTGTTTTCCTTGTTCAATGAGTTCCCAGCAAAGTTCCATTTGGACTGTCTGAACACACCCAGAGGCATCTCATGACTACTACAGACGCTGGCAGAGCAGAGATGTGAGTTGGCAGGGATCAGAAGACATCTGGCAAGGGCAGCCTTTGGCAGCTGACACCTTCAGGAAACTTTTTAACACATACATGGACTTCAGAAGCCTCTGTGCAGGCTGTCAACTTGTGCGTTGCTACCTGGCCCAGTTCTATATTCATTTCACTAGGCAGCACTTTTAATACCTGGAGATGATGAATGTCAGCTTGCTGGCTGACAATGCAGGTGTCTCAGAAGTAAGTGAGGACATCTGACTATGCAGACAGCACTGGACCAGCGTAACAGCCCACCCACTCACCTCCAAGTGCCATGTGCAAGAAGGGCAAAAGCATGGCTGCATGCTGGGAGTGTCTATTCTCTAGACTTCATACCCTGGAGTCTTACCAGGGCTTTAGGCACTACAGATCCTCTACCACTCCGTTCAGAGACTCTATTCCTACAATTCCTTCTGCAAAGTAGTGCAAGAATGATCCTGGATTTTTCATGAGCTAAGCAAAAGTCCCCCAGGTGACTATTTGGAAAGATATAAATTGATCTCAACTCTTGAAACTTGGGGTTTCTCCCCCAGAAATCCCGTTTCCTCCCTATTCCTCCATGTATTCCTCCAGCAGGAACGGAATGAGGCAGCAGTGACTGAGCACAGTCAGCTGCTGGAAGAACCAATTCTTTTGTTCTGTTATCTGAATGATGTGAAGATCGGATCTGCCACAGAATCACAGAATCACTCCACTGCAGTGAGCAGGTGAGCAGCTCATGATGTCCCGGGACAGAAACAAGATACGAGGAACGTCCTCAGTGGGAGCGGGCTATGGAGTGCGATCTGGGAGAGTGCTCTTCCCTCTCCGCAGCTCCGACACCGACCTGAGATCGCACTGAACAGCCCGTGAGCGTGCCACGAAGCCACGAAGCCTGGGCTCAGCATCACCCCGAGCTCCGCACGAAAAAGGGGGACTACCGCAGCGACCCGGCGGGAAGCAGCGCTGCTTCTCGTCCTGGAGCGGGGAAAAGCGAGGGGACGGAAACGCGGCGAGCGGGAAAGGGGTGGAGAAAAGGAAGGAGGAAGGAAACTTCCAGGAGGGAAGGAAGAAAACAAACAACAAACAGCCGCACGACGGCACAGCCATCCTTCGCGCCGTCCCCCCACCTTCTGGTGCTTGCGCTCCTTCTCGATGCGGTCCATCCTCTCCAGGCGGAGCCGATCGAGCTCCAGGCGCAGCTCCTCCATCTCGGGGTTGATGTGGTTGCGGCTCACCAGCACCTCCAGGATCTCCAGCACCCGCACCACCTTGGGCATCAGGCGGGCGATGGCCTCGCAGCCGTGCTGGTCGATCACCCGCTCAAACTCCTGCCCCACGGCCGAGGCGATGTCGTACACGTCCATCACCGTCAGCTCCGCCGCGTTCTTCTCCAGGGCGGTGGGCAGCCCTCCGCCGCCGCCGTCCATGGCTCTCCCGACCCCGCGGCGCCCTCATAGGCGGCGGCGGAGCGCCCGGCTCCCCTCGGCGGGCCGCTTTCCGGGCCGGGCCTCGCGGTACGGCGCTGCGCTGCCCGGCGGGGCCGCGGCTCCGCGCGACTCGGCCAACTCGCGGGGCGGGGGTTTCAACTTGGCCGGGCGGCGGGAAGGGAGCGGCGGCGGCGGCGGCGGCAGGAAAGGAGGGCGCGGCCGCCCCGCTTCGCCTCCCGCCCTCGCTGCGCCGCTCGGAGCCAATGGCACGCACCGGGCGGGCCGGGGGGAGGCACCGCGCATGCGCGCTGCCGCCGGGCCGCTGCGTGCCGCCGTGCTGTGCCGCGCCCGGGGATGGAGGGATGCTCGGCCCCGGGTCTCGCCATAGCGGGATGCGGTTTGGTGTTTAAGGTTTTCAAGATTTTTACCTTCGGGGGTGAATGTGCACTTTTGGATGTTCTTACAGTGCTGAGAGGGGCTCTGGGTGGATCTTTAACGTGCCCTGAATGATTGTAGGTTCTAATTCCACGTCTTGCTGTGCGTGCTCTGCAGGAATAACGCCTCGTCGGTGAGCTGGGGGAGCTGGGGCTGTGCAGCCTGGAGGGGAAAAGGCTCCGGAGCTGAGCGGCCCTTTGGTATCTAAAAGGGCTGTAATAGAGAAGGAGACGGACTCTTTAGCAGGGGCTGTGCTGTAGGACAAAGGAAAACGGTTTCAAACCAAGGGGGGGATTTAGACTGGGTATAAGCAAGAAGTTTTTACGCTGAGGGCAGTGAGGCACTGCACAGGGTGCACAGAGAGGTGGCAGTGCCCCATCCCTGCATGCAGCCACAGTCAGGGGACGGGGCTGTGAGCACTGATGGAGCTGTGGGTGTCCCTGTGCACTGCAGCCAGTGGGAACAGACTGCCTTTAAGGTCCCCTTTCAACTCAAATGATCCTATTCTAATTTTTTCTGTTCTAAACTTCCTCACGTGCTGCCAGCAGGCACTCATCTTCATTGATCTGGGTCATAAGTGTCCAGACATCTGAGCTTGATATTCAGCTGCCTAATTTATAACAAAATGCTATCCTATGACGTCTGCTTGTTGTTCATGAAGCTTCTTGCCAAAGGAACACCACAGATACTGCCCAAAGTTCCAGAGCATGGGGATGAGTCACAACACAGTCATCCATTCCTGGCCAACACCACTTAGGAAAGCATGGAAAGAGGCAGCAGAGATGAGCACAGCGCTTGGAGGGCGCTCTGTGGTACCTCTGGGGAGCAGACAGGCTGCAAAGTGAGAATTGTGCCAGAGGCACAGGAGGTGTTCATACCACCATCAGGATCCAGCAGCAAATCACTTCCCCTCATTATGTACGAATGCGCACAAATGAAAAGAAATAATAATTTAGAGAACGTGCTACTGGCAAGACTGAAATCACTTGGAGACCAAGGGAATCCCAAGGCAGCAGCTCGGGCTGTAGAGGCAGTGGGCTCAATCCACGACAAAGGTTTGCTGTGGCTGCGGGTGTGACAGCCACGTCAGCAGTGCAGCTCCCACCCTGCGGGGCAAAGGTGCTTTATCCACACAAATCGAGAATTCGGATTACAGCTGTCACACAGCTGAGGGCAATAAAACGCACAACGCCTGAGCAGCACCACGAGCACAGCCCGCCTGCCAAAGCCAAGGGCGCTTCAGAAGTGCGCAGCCCGCGCTCCGCAGTTGCCAGGCAACGCCTCCTCCGCTGCTCATCCAATGCCGCTCTGCCTTCCGCTCTTCTCCATTTTTATAGGCCCGCTCTCCCCTCCTCGCGCTGATTGGCTTCCCGCTGCAACTTGCTCTGCGCTCATTGGTTGCTCTCGAGCACAGGCTCCGCCTCCTACTTCGCGCCTCTCTCTCCTCGGGGTTCGGGCCGTCCCTTCCTGATCAGTCCTTTGACGGCCACCGTAGCGCAGGGCCGTACGTGGCAGTGGAGCCGCGCCGGCCTATGAGCGGCGGCCCCGTGCCCCGGAAGGGGCGTGGCGAGAGCCGGAAGTCCCCCTCCCCTTTTCCTGCTGCCCGCCGCTCGGTGCCCCTGGGCTCCGCCATGTCGCCGGTGCGGGCGGTGCTGGCGCTGCTGGCCGCACTGGCGGCCCCGGCCGCCGCCTACTTCGTCAGCATCGATGCACACGCGGAGGAGTGCTTCCTGGAGCGGGTGCCGTCCGGCACGAAGATGGGGCTCATCTTCGAGGTGGCCGAGGGGGGCTTCCTGGACATCGACGTAGAGGTGAGGCGGGACCGCCTGACCTTGAGCCTCGCGCTGAGGGGGGGCCCAGCCCCGGGACCGGGCTTTGCGCGCCGGGAGCGGTGCGGAAAGGCGAGGCGGTGCGGAGAGGCCCGGGCGGCGGCGAGGCCTGCGGGGGGCGGGCCGCGTTTGGCCGCCCCCGGCTCTGGGGCCGTGGGATCGATGTGAGCTCCACCTCCTTGGGGTGCCGGGACGGCTGATGCTCCCGCAGGAGGAGAGCCCTTCTGCCGTTGTTGGAGCCGTTCTCCGGGTTTATGGAGCCGAGACCTGCTCCGTGCGGTTTTGGTGTAGTGCAGCGTTTGTTGGCGGGAAGAACGAAGTGGTTTTTCTCTGTGTTGCCCATTCTGGGAGCGTTCTTTCTCCACTTATGAGCACTGACTTTACCGAGGCTGATTGCCGGCTTTAATCAGGTTGATTGCCAGCTCAGGTTGTGGGTAAGTGCTTTTCTTCAATAAAGCATCAAGTTGATAGGAGAATAACGAATGAGCATTCCTTTCATCTTGGCGAGGAGCAGATAGTTTGTCTGGGGTAGCTTCGACATGAGAGCTGTTGCTGAAATCGGATGTAATTGTTGAAAATTACGCAGTTCTGATACAGGAAATAAAGGCAGGAGGCTGCCAGCCTCCATTTGGGTGTCACTGATGGAAGCTTAGCAGCTGGGTTTGGTGTCCTGGTGCAGTGGAAGATGTAAGGTCACCATGACTCTTATGGCTTAGCACTATGCCCTGCTTCTGTCTGAGCTGGCAGCGGTGATATTGCAGAATTGTGCATCGTTGTACTGTGAGAATGTCCTTTATTCCCTTTTGTTTCCCTCCAAACGTCAGAGATAAGGTTTCCCCTGCAGTTGTGACTTTGGTGAACAGCCAGGCTTGTACACAGCTTATGTCTCTCTTGTTATGGAGTGCTGCTTATCTTGAGGACAGGCGGTCAATAAGCAAAGCTTTTATATGGCTTTCTTTACAGAGGGGGTGTTTTAAAGATTCCTGTGCTGGAAAACACAGAACTGCTTTTAGAGTTGTGGTGAGGAAAATAAAAATATCACCAAATCAGCCAGATTAAAGGTGTTGTGGGTAAATCTGACTGGATGACTTCAAAATATGTGCCCAACTGGTATTGATGCATTTTAAAACACTGTATTTTAAGTAAAATGAATGGTATTTTGTTTTTATTGTCCAGATTACAGGGCCTGATAATAAAGGAATTTATAAAGGCGATCGAGAGTCCAGTGGAAAATACACATTTGCTGCCCACATGGATGGAACTTACAAGTTTTGTTTTAGTAACAGAATGTCCACCATGACTCCCAAGATAGTGATGTTCACAATTGATATTGGGGAAGCTCCAAAGGGGCAAGATATGGAGACAGAAGGTGAGAAAAACTCCTGAAAAGAAGGCGGCTCTCTTTCGGGAGCTTTTACCTACATGCATGACTTGTGAATGTGACTAGGATTCTCAGAATTGCTGTTTCTTCAGGCGGTCTAGTTGACTGTTTTTGTGCACAGCTAAAATGGATATGGATGTTTTTAGACCTCGTGGCACAACTCAGTGCAAAATCACCAGGGAATCACTTGGCCGTCTGCAGAAACGAATGCTTTCATCTTTTAGTCTTTTCATCGGTTTCTTTCTCTGATTTCTAGTTTGCTCAGCAGTATGTAGATTGCCATATGCATTAGTTGAACTCTTTGATAAATGTGCTAATGAAAAAATATTTTCTCGTGGCCATGTAAGTTACTGTTTTATCTGCAGCCTTTTGTCCTGTACTTGTGTTCATCTCTTACACTTTTCTCTAGGTGGTGGAGATACCTGGGATGGTATGTGTACTGCTTTTTGAAAGCTCATTAGCATCTTGTCTTTTGCATATGTTTATTCACTAACAGCTAACGTTTGCTTTTTCTCTGTAATGTTTGTTTGTAGCATGAGAATGTCTTTTTAATAAACTACATCAAAGGTCTGATTCTGAGCAATGCTGAGCACTGCAAGCTTCCATCGAGAGGTTGAAATACTTAGCAGCTCTTGGGATCAGATCCTCAAACTGGCCTTGATGCTTTGTCTTCAGGTCATTATTTGTGGCTAACAGAAGGCTTGATTAGATGTTTTAGGTGGAATTGAACTAAAACAATGAACATCCAGGAGCATTAAACGATGTTTGCTTACTAAAGTGAATGTTGGATAATCAAGGGCTTTTGGAAGCAACAAATTCCACCTAGGATATGAATTAGCAAACATGTTACAAGAGAAAAAACTGGAAAGTTGCCATTTGCTGTAAATTAAGTGTTTGGGTAACAAGTTGTAAAGTTTTCTTTAGAAATCACTAACTGAAGCTAGAAAGTAAGTTTTTTTTTTTCTATTTTAGTGAGTAAATAACTGTGTGAATTGAGTGCTTGATTGTTATCTCTTGGTGAAATTTAACAAATTCTTAACTTGATTTTTTTTAAAGTCTCAGTTAAATCTTCTTATTGAATGTGAAAAAACATTGTAAACATCAATTCTAAGGAATATTAATAGAGCTTTAAATTTTAAGATAAACACTTTTCCTGTATTTTTTTAAATGAGTTTAAACAATACCTGAGACTAATTTCTTCTCCAATAAACTGTACGTATTGCAGTGACCAGCTGTGAAATTAAGAGATTTATGTTAGCAAAGTGAGTGTTATTTTGACATCTACTTAAACTTCAATTAGAACTTGTATGAGTGTTATTCTCTGGCCATCTTTTTGTCTGTTACCCAAATGTGTATATTTTTAATAGGTTTGCTTTCAGAGCGTGATCTGAAATAGTTAATTTATAAAGAAATAATATTAGGTAGCTTCAAAATCCAGTATATCCCTTCAAGAGATGTTTGCCTGGAGTGTGTCTGTGGAATGATTGCTCAAACTTCTCTTGGTGCTAGAAAACTCTGAAAATTACTTGCATAATTCATAACTTTTGTTAGTGGGCAGTTCTTTGAGCATGAAGGTATTTAAAGGATCCTGTGATTGACAAATCACTAAATCTCGGATCTCTGTTCCTTCCATGTGCTGAATTATCTCAAGCTAATTTTCTGTTATCGTTAGTTCATTTTCTTACTCTTCTGCTTTCATGACATACCAGAACCTGAGGCCGGTTCCTGCCATTTGCCGTTCCCCTTTGGCATTGTTTCTGCTGAATGCTGTGCTACAGCTAAACAGGGAGACCACAAGATGTGATCCGTTGCTTCAGACAGTCATCTCGTTTTGCCAGCATCAGGATCTTAAGCTAAATTCTCAGCTGTTCAATTTTTGCAAACTTAACAACTAGAAAAAAACCTGTTAAGATAATTTGCTTGGAGTGTAGTGGAACGTATTTGCAAGGTGGATAATAGTGTGGTAATGATCTCATGTATTTTTACATTCTATTTTTCTGGAGACGTGTGCCCATATTGGATATAACTGGTCTGCACTGACTAAATTGGGTGTCATCTGTCATCTAGTTGGATGTGGTGAGAGGTGTCTTCCCACTCAGTAAATGCCACAGTGATGTGCTATGAGAAGTGGCAACAAGACGACAAAACTATTTTGCTGTAAGGACAGAAAGTTTTCATTGTACAGACTGCATTTTTCAGAACTCCCTCTGTGATGGGAAGTTGATTACAACTGTTCATATGGTTTAAAAAAAATTTTTTTTTGAGTAAATAACTTTCTGATGCTTTTGAAATTATTCTGCAGCTCATCAGAACAAGCTAGAAGAGATGATTAACGAGTTAGCAGTGGCCATGACAGCTGTAAAGCATGAACAGGAGTACATGGAAGTTCGTGAGAGAATACATAGAGCAAGTAGGTGTCTTTTGACTTAAATGTCTTGTCATTTTTTTTTAAGGTTTATTTTTATGTCTATAAAAGCTATTTCAAATTACTAAAAAGAATTCAGAACAAATCCTGAAACTCTCAGTAGAGTAAATAATGATTGACACTTGCAGTCTCTACAATTTCTTGTCTCTCACTTAATGAGGATTGTTATGCAAAATGCAGAAAAAGCACAGAAGGATGCTGCAGTGTGTGTCCAGAGGTGAGATGAACATCTGTTTGCATAGCTTGGTTCTGGCTATGCAGGTTCTCAGTTCAGTTCCTGGAACCCTTGTACAGCCACGATACAAATATCAGTGATGTCACTGTAAGGCTTATATGCAATTCTTTGGATCCTATGACAAAAGAAAATATCTTTTAAGTTTGTTTTAAATTCTTTGTTACTTTTTTTTTCTCAACAGTTAATGACAACACAAACAGCAGAGTGGTCCTTTGGTCATTCTTTGAAGCTCTTGTACTAGTTGCCATGACACTGGGACAAATCTACTATCTGAAGAGGTTTTTTGAAGTCCGAAGAGTTGTTTAAGAGTACTGTACCTGGTCCTGGATTTCAGTTCACTGTCTACCAAACATCTTGGTCACAAAAAAAAAATCACTGAGTTTCGAAACCCTCTTTACTGAACTGTAAAACTTATTTGCTTACGTTCCTTCCTAGTTAAAAACGAATTGTTTTTATATATCTTCTGTAGCAAAAGCTATGCTGAAATCTCATCACTTAATTGGCCTGTTTTTTTTTTTCTTTTCACTTAAACCTGCCTAGTCTGTATGCTAAGCAAGATCCAAGCAAGCTGCAAATGCTGTAATTCAATTGTAGTAACAAGCAATGTCTGTGTCTTTTCTAACTTTCTGTTTCCATAAGTACTTGCAGTTCTATCTAGGGAAACGGTACAAAGCCCTAATGTGACTGTTGCATTTCTCACATCATTAACCCTGCAGGAAGTGTTAGGAAATTGAAGGAATCCCTTCTTCACTTACGCAAACTGCCAAGGAGGAGCAATTGGAACTTTAATCTGATAATGAGTGGATCTGACAACTTCTGATCTAGTATACGTACCTGATGAAAATTTAAAAGAAAGTGTTCAGTAACTATCCTAATTACACCAACTTACCCTTGAAGATTTTTAACGAAATAACCAGTATCAAAATAGATCCTCTACCAAATGTTCATCACGTGGTTTTTAGTCTTTTTCAGGTTTTAAATCGGATCCCATTGTGTGCAGTGTCTTGGCAAACAATAGTTAACCCTTTGGTTCGTGCAGCTCCAAAGCTGAGGCTGTTGGTGCTCCTGCAGAGTGCAACACTGTTCAGGACATCTGAATTCCTGGTGCCAAAGGGTTAACGGTTCTGGGGGTTTATTGCAATGCTATGCAGCCCTTGTATTTAAGTTAAGTGGCAATCTCTGCCATTTTCTGGTCATAATTAGCATAATGCTAAGTACTGGTGTGTTTTCTTTTTCAGGCACATGTAGATTTGTTTTTGTATAAAGTTACTTTCCTTGGTATCTGATGATTGGTTTAAAAATTAAAGACGCGTCTGGTGTGGGTGCTGAGCCAGGATTCTGTTGTGACTGATGTACATTAGTTGTAATCATTTTTGGGGTGGGGTGGGACCTTTTCCAGGGGGGAGCCTCTACAAGTTACACACAGCAGTTTTGTACAATTAATTTAAAATTTGTTACAGGTTTTCATGTTCCAGGTAAAGATTTTGCAACCTTGGGCAAACACTGGCAGCAGTTCTTCAGCAAGGTGGAGTTACACCTTATGGCAACTGTTGTGTGCCAATATTTTTGTGTAAAACACTTAAATTGAATTATAAGATGTACATTTAAAATTGCTTGTGAATCTAAATATGACCCAGGTTCGATAAATAAACAAATTCTTAAAAAAAAAAAAAAAAAAGATAACCAAACACCACGCTCTGTATTTATTTTTTCTGACGCTTTATGGAGGTGCTGCTTTGCACTCTAAATGTTTTTATCAGGGTCCCTGGGTATCCCGAATTCATCCAGCCATGAGCTGGTGTTGGGGGCAGGTTGAAGAAGTTATGGTTCTTTGGTGCTGCTCACTGTGCCATTGGGTGTTACAGTGCTGCCGTGGGGCCCACAGAAGTGCTCTGACGGTCCCCATGCTATACAACTGGGATTGTTGGCGCTCTGCGGATCGGTGCTCGCGGTGGAGCCCCTTGGGGGAGGCGGAGGAACCTTTCTTATAGCGGAACCAAAGCGTTGCGGTGCGTGTTTCCGGCCGTTCCCTTCTACGGCCGGAAGTGGGGGACGAGTTCCGGCTTTGCGCGCCGCCCGCCAAGATGGAGGCGGTGACTGAGGGCGCTTGGTCCGCGCTGCCCGTGGCGCTGAACCCGGGCGTCCTGCGGGCGCTGCAGGAGCTCGGCTTCGACCGCATGACACCGGTGCAGGTGAGTGGGCGGCTGTGGGGACGAGGAGCCCGAGGAAGGAGACTCCGGGCGGGGCTGGGTTTTTCTAGCAGAGCCGCTGCTCGGGTAACGCGGGGGAGCTCTGTGCTCCTGGGGGTAACTGAGCCTCTGCCAGGTAATAATTAATCTGCTCGTGCGCTGTTTCTCTTTTTTTTTCCCTCAGTCTGCGACCATTCCGCTCTTCATGAGTAACAAAGACGTCGCTGCAGAAGCGGTAGGTGTTATCCGGGTGTTTTCGTGCTCTGTCTGTGGAGCTGGGGGAGCTGACTGTGTTTCCCTCTCCCAGGTAACGGGCAGTGGCAAAACCTTGGCGTTTGTGATTCCCATACTAGAAATTCTTCTCAGACGGGAAGAAAAGTTAAAGAAAATGCAGGTAAGGTTAAGTTGTGCAGTTGGAATGTTTGAACGTGTTTTTGTGATCTATCAGTGAGATTGAGGACCTCGGTAGAAGTACCACTAAGTCAAATTGAATACATACAGTGACCCTTTGGTACAGTAGTAACAACAAGAATAAATATTGGGGTGCTTTCTGTGCACTTAGAGCTTTTTATTTGAAATGATCAGGCTTGTTCTGAGCTACTAGAAAAGTATCTCAGAATATCAAATAAGAGAATGTACAGCAAGCAAGAGTCTTTGAGTGCTTTTTGCATCTGTTGACTTTGAATGCATTCTAAGGTACACGTGTCACTTTTTCTTGATTAAATATTGCTATCAGCTGCTATTTCTTGACCATTTTGCATATTGGTATAGCAGTTCTTTCAGAAGTCTTTTAAAAAATTCTACTGAGAATGTTTTGCCTAAAGTCAGGGTCGTAAACATGCCCCACATTCCCTTACCTCACCAGTAACAGTTTTGCAACAATCTTCCCTCTGCTATTTTCCATAAGTTCCTTTTGTTTGCAGGTTGGAGCTATAATTATCACACCAACGAGAGAATTAGCTATTCAAATTGATGAGGTGCTGACACACTTCACAAAACACTTCCCCAAGTTTAGGTGAGTGACCCTCGAGCTTTTCATGACCACAGTTCCTTTTTCTTTGGGCTTCTGTCATTCATAAGGCCACAGAATTTAAAGATGACCTAAATTTTCTGTTCTGTTGTTTTAGTCAGATTCTTTTAATTGGTGGTAGGAATCCCATGGAAGATGTTGAAAAGTTTAAAGAACATGGGTAAGTTGGTTGTCTGTAATTGTTCCAATGCCTTGCTGTTGTGTTTTTTTCCTTGTCATTAGAATACACAAATTATGGCTCTGGTCTGGTTTTGCTGGTGCTGATGTTTGATGATACTGCATAAATATGTTGGGTATACACTAAAGAAATTGTGGTTTATTTCACTACAGTAAAATGCACCGTAACCAGATTGTAGTGAGATAAGAAGCAAGGATTGCATGTGAAATTGATCCCATTTCCATGCTGTGTGGGTAAAGAGCAACGAACTGCATGGCAAGTTGAAAGATGAATATTTCAGTTTCTTCTTGTAAATTTTCTGCCAGCAATGAACTTTAGTGAGGTTGAGTCTGTGCTGAATAATGGGAATGACTCGGTGCTGATACTCATGGAGAAACTTTGATGCTATTTTATTTGTCTCTGGCTTTTGCACAGAAGTATGAAATATTTCTTCTAGCTGATAGTTGCTTTCAATAGTCATTAATTACCTTCAGAACTGTTATTACCACAAATGGTGAGCCTGCACACAAGGGCTTTTTCCTCCCATCAACGTGCTGCCTGAAAGGCACTGGAATATAAATACACTTGAAAGTAGCATTTGTCTGCTGAAGAATGCATTCATTTTGAGTGCAGGTTTGTGCTGTGGTCATTGTTAGCAGCTCCATTAAAGGCTTTACATTGTGTGGTTACAAAATTGCTGTGTCTTTGTTGCAAACAGGGGGAACATCATTGTAGCTACACCAGGTCGACTGGAGGATCTGTTCAGAAGGAAAGCAGATGGGCTGGATCTAGCAAGCTGTGTGAAATCTCTCGATGTGTTGGTATTGGATGAAGCTGACAGACTTCTCGATATGGGCTTTGAATCAAGGTATTTACTATTTAAATAAGAAGCTTTCATTATGCATCTGAAGTTTTAAATTAATTCATCATTAAGTGAACACTTCTGTTCTTTGGCCTCTCTTTGCTCCGTAGCCTGTATAAAGCAATTGCTGTAAAGGGAAAGGAATCAGGAAAGAGTGCTTGCTCGATGAATTTCTTTTTTCTGATGCGTTTGAGCATGTAATCATTTAAATATCAGTATTGGCTTAAAATGCTGTAACAATTAAGCACAGGTGCCTTTCTTGAAATGTTCTGATAAATTCTTGAAGATGCTTGACATTTAGTGATAAAAACTGTTTTGTCTGTAAGCTCATACTTCCAGTGATTAACCTTATTTCTGAGGGAAATCTTGGCACATTTATGTTTTGCATGTTTTTACTTGCAGTTTAAATGCCATTCTGGCCTTTTTACCCAAGCAGAGGCGGACGGGTCTGTTCTCAGCCACTCAGACACAAGAGGTGGAGAACCTGGTGAGAGCAGGGCTCCGGAATCCTGTCCGCATCTCGGTGAAAGAGAAGGGAGTGGCAGCAACCAACACACAGAAAACTCCAACACGCCTGGAGAACTATTATATGGTATGAACTCTGTGTTTTGTGGTATTGGCATTCTTTCTCCTTTTTCCCTGATTCCATCAGCAAGTTTTTAAGTCATGACCACTTACAGTCAGTTTAACAGATGAACCAGAAGTTTCTAAGATGTAAAGCTCTTGCAAGTTATCTGAAGATTGGCAACCATGTTGAGGAGAAATGCCCTTAATTCTTAATGCTGTAGTTGTCTGCTGTATTAGTTTGTTTTGTTTGGCTGGTCAGGACCGAAACTGCTGCACTGCAGTGCCTCCGTGACCAAACATCAGTGTGTAATGAAAGGAGGAAACTGGCAGATCAGTTTGTATCAAGTCCATTTTCTTACTTATTGTTTTTCTTTTGCATTGTGTAGATATGCAAAGCAGATGAAAAATTTAATCAGTTGGTGCATTTTCTTCGACAGCACAAGCAGGAAAAACATCTGGTCTTTTTCAGGTAATACTGTGTTAGTGTTTCATTGTGAAAACAAGGAGTTTTATTACCTATATTCCAAAGCTGCCCTGTGTTGATAAGGACATGGCTATTTTAAATGTAGTTCATTTTAATAGCTGTCTTATGGAATGAGGATAAAAGGAGATTGATCATTGCTTCATGTCAGGATTCTGTTAACATGAACTTTACAAGATTATAAAAGTGAAGATTATAGATGATGTGTTAATCATAAAAGTGATTATATTTTAAATAAAAATAGACAAGTGGGTATTTTTGAAAGGGCTCAGACTGTTACGACTTGGTTGCAGATTAAACATGCACCATAATCTTTTACTTTTCTGTCTTCATCACAACAGCACGTGTGCCTGTGTGGAATACTATGGAAAGGCTTTGGAATCCTTAATTAAACAAGTGAAAATAATGTGCATTCATGGGAAAATGAAACACAAGCGTAACAAGATTTTCACTGAGTTTCGAAGGCTCCCGGGGTAAGAGCCAAGCAGGTTACCCCAGGCAAAAGTAGAAACAGTAAGAGAGATTTAATTGTGTCTGACAATGTGCTTTTCTTAGTGAAAAAATGTTTTTTTCTTCTTCCTAGTGGGATTTTAGTTTGTACTGATGTGATGGCCCGTGGCATCGACATCCCAGAAGTACACTGGGTTTTACAGTATGACCCACCTAGCAGTGCAAGGTACAACTTCAGATCTTACCAACTTGTGCTCGTGCTACTGTACTGTTCAGATATAAATTGAGAACACACAACTGTGGAAAAGGCATTTACTTGTTGCCTGGAAGTCTGAGCAATCTGCCAACAAGAAGGTGGCAACTTTTATTGTAACTGATGTGAATAATGTAGATTGGCTTTGTAGGTCCAATGCGCAGAAGTGAAACAGGTCGTTGCCACTTGCACTTGTGCAAGGAGGCTTTCTGTTCTAAGGGTTGTGTGAGAGTATAGATGTAACAAGCTGAGGTGTGTGAATGAGTGCAGAGAGCAGAACTATTTAAGAGTGGTACATTGAGAATTCACGTGAGGGGAGCTTTTTCCATGTATTTTTACTTCTATTGTTGTAATTTTCCTGTAGCTAAAGTTACTAGTATAGTTTGAAAATATGGAGAACTCCAGGTTTTCCATTCTGTCAGATGTGCTCTTTTGCTCACTAATGCTTTAAAGTCAGACCAAGCATCTATCCTTGAATTATCCCTGTTTTATTTCAGTGCCTTTGTGCATCGCTGTGGTCGAACAGCACGGATTGGAAATGTTGGCAGTGCACTTGTATTTTTGCTTCCCATGGAAGAATCTTATATTAACTTTCTCTCAATCAATCAAAAGGTCAGTAGACTTTTATTCTAACCCTATGCAGAAAAGGGCAAGGGAGCAGACACTCATCAGAGGTTTAATGACAGGCATTTTGAAGTCAGAATTCATTGGGCTTAAGATCATATGCATTGATAAAGTTTTAGCAGAGGTGCATAATTAAAAAAAGAGAAGAGCTGCTTATTAATCACCAAATTCAACTGTTAGAATGTGATTGCTCCCTCTGTCATTTACTGAGTACATAAAATGTCCTGGTAAAAGTCAGGGAAAGGTGCTCAAAACATACTAAAGATTAACTGGAGAAGAAATGTGTTTGAAGTTTCACAGCACATTTCAAATCATTCAGCTGAACTTTGCCTTTCTTTTTGTATTTCTTTTTTGGTTTTCAGTGTCCCATGCAGGAAATGAAACCACAGAGAAATGTGTTAGATCTTCTTCCAAAACTGAAGTCTATGGCTCTCGCTGACAGGGCAGTGTTTGAGAAAGGGATGAAAGCATTTGTCTCTTACATCCAGGCTTATGCCAAACATGAATGCAATCTGATCTTCCGAATAAAAGGTAATTCCCAGCAGGAGCTGGGGATCTTTTTCTCAATATTTGGTTTGGCAAAAAACCCCACAGTATTATTATCCAGAAGCTACAACCACCCATTTGTGTTCTGAAAGGTACTTTCTGCAGTATCCAGTTGTGACAGAATTCTTATTTGCTTAAGCAATTTCTCATCATTTTCAGAGAAAATGTTTAATTAGCAAGTCTGACTGAAACAAACCGGAGCATAAATATGACCTAATATTGTTACTGTTATTAAATACAAATTTCAGGATAATCTTTTTTCCTGTGACTTTGTAAGTTAACTTTTTATCCAGCAGGAAACTGATTTTATAATCTTTATCTTAACAGATCTGGACTTTGCTAGTCTTGCTAAAGGCTTTGCCTTGTTAAAGATGCCAAAGATGCCTGAGCTAAGAGGAAAATGTTTTCCAGACTTTACTCCAGTCACTGTTAATACAGACTCCATTCCATTTAAGGATAAAAATAGAGAAAAACAGAGACAAAAGCAACTAGAACAACAAAGAAAGGAAAGACAGGAAAGTGGAGGAAAAAAGAAATTCATAAAAAACAAATCCTGGTCAAAGCAGAAAGCCAAAAGGGAGAAGAAGAAGAAAATAACAGCTAAAAGGAAGCGTGAAGAGGTAAACCGTGCCCATTTTATTAAACTGCATGTCATTACTTTAGCATAGGTATGTATTTCCAAAAGGCAGAGCAATTGGATTTTAGAAGTGAGATGCACTGCAGAATTACTTATTGAAAGTAAACCTTCTAGGTCTTTGACAGGCAAAGCATTTAAAAAAAAAGCTTTTTTAAAGCCAAACGCTGAAACAATTTTTCATCACTCAGTTGATGGTGAATTGCTGCCAGCATAGCCTCATAGGCTGCATGGATTGTAAGGGATACAGCAGTTACTTCACTGGACTGTTCTTATTTGTTTGGTTTTTTTTGTTTTTGTTTTCTTTTGTATCTTAACAAGTTAATTTGATAGTTTGGTTGTAGAAATTGAGTATAATTTCCTGCTTGGATGCTGCTGGCAAAATCTAGGTTGTAAAATTCTGCTGTGTTCAGCTGTGTAAAAATGAAACCTTTTGGTGTTGTGTGTAATCTGTTGTACTTCAATGGCTAACAGGGCTCTGATATGGAAGATGAGGACATGGAAGAGTTGCTGAATGACACGAGACTCTTGAAAAGATTAAAAAAGGGAAAAATTAGTGAAGAAGAATTTGAGAAGAGACTAACAAGTAGCCAGAGTAAATTCAAAGAAGAAGCTGCTGTTGACTGAGACTGAATGTTGACATTTATTCTAACTGAACTTTTACATTAAGATACTCCTTGTTTCAATAAAACTGTATTTTTATAACAAAATAATGATGCAGAGAACAGTACAGATTTAATTTCTTCATGAAGTAACCTGGTTTCCATAAGCACGTTTTAGAACAAAGCTAAAAGCACTGCCCTTGTTTGATTTGGCTGGAGCTACAGCTTTCCTTTGGAGCATTTATTTCAGGGCTTTTTGTTCACAGATCAGTCAGTGACAGCATAGCTCAGAATGAGGCTGCCTACACCATAAGTTACTTTATTTTACAGTACTAAAGTAATTGACCCATCTTTCAGATAATTCACTTAAGGTACTCAGAAGCTCTAGCAACTTTTCTAAACAGTGATCCCTCCACAGGTAATGCCTTAAGCTGAAGAAGGCCAATAATGATACGAATCCTTGTAATGCTGTCTCCTTACCATGTCCACCCCACTTGTATCACCTCCCAGGCTCTTATAGCTGTGACAGTCATCGAAGATGGTACATTGCACAGCATGTCTATCAAGTTACAGATACAATTTAATGAGTTCATCACTGACAGCTGATGGAGTTAACACACCAAGGTCTGTAAACAATAATGTAATAAGTGATGGTGATGTGTAGTCAATCCAGGGATGTTCCTCTGTTAGATTCTGACTTGTTTTCAGAGTGTCTGCTTTGTACTAGAAGGAAATGAGATCATTAATTATTACACAGCTGTGAGCTAAAACCTCTCTTGGGCAGGGGCAGTACTATAATCTTCAGCAGGTATTTGTGATAAAATGGAAGGAAGTCAACTGCTTTAAAATGAGGCATACGCTGCCACCTTGGTCTCAAGTGTTTTACCTTCTATCCACCATACAACTTATAGTTTTGAAGTGTCTTGATGTAGCTGTCTCTTGCCTGCAGCTACTCCTGTGCCCCAAAGGAACTGCTTCAGTAACTCAACAAGAGTATTAGGACAAATTGTGGATGTTGGACATTTGACTTGGACATGGAGCAACTCTGTACTGTGTCAAGTTAACTACAGTAGAGAGATCCAAATAAACGAAGATATGCTTAGAAGAAAATTACTCACAGACACGTAAGTGGGTCTTAGTTTGCCAGGAAGCAACCTGTATTTCTCTTACCTTAAATTTATCTGGGACATCCTGCTGGTTGAGAGGGAAAAGTCTTACAAACTTGAAACTTTCTGCTACCACATAGAATGGCTTATTCTGAGCTTTGGCACACACAGCAATCTGATTAGTGCCAATCTGTGGAGACACAGAAAATAACATGCAGATTCAGTGCTAGTATGACATTTCTAATAATAACAGACTTTCACTGATTGATACCCCAGAAAATTTTAATGGACTTCACAGACTGATGTAATGCATTCTCTTTTACCTTGTTAATAATGCCTCCGCTTTCAACTACACCTTCAGCACCAACTAAGACCAGGTCCACTTTCTCCATAATATAGCTGTTGAAAGAGGGGAAAAAAATCCAAGACTTAGCAAATAATATGACTCATTGAACAGAACAGAGATAAGGAACTCAAACAGTCTCTCACTTTTCTAAAGTAGTTTTAGCTACTGTTAGCTAAGTAAGGCTGTGCTATTAGACATCCTTGGAATGAGCTTTCACCTGCTTGCTCAGCAAGAATGGTACAAACCACATCTGACCTTGACAACTGTGTAAGTGATGGGAGAAATTCATCAATTGTAGTCATTACATGACAAAATATATGCTATAATTTAGCTTAAAAACAAACAAACAACATTTATAAAGTAGAAAAATCAAAGTAGCTTTCTTTAGTAGAGCAGCTCCTTCTCCACACATCCCCAAGTTCTACACTTAGGTTGATGGAATCAGACCTAATAGGCAAACATCAAAGTACAAGCTTTGCAGCAGGCATATTTGGTTAATCATGCACCTAAAGGTGTAACTTGCTTAGCTTGTTTGATGACTATGACAAACTAAGTAACAACTTCTGTATTTAGAACAATCTTCTATGGAACTTAAATGTAACAATGTTAAAATAAAGTTGGGATGAACAACATTAAGATTTAACAATCAGGCTTACCCAACTGCAGCATCCAGTATCACAGTCACAGGAATGTTCAGTTTCCTCAGGGCCTTTGCCATTTTTTGCCTATTAAAAAACAAATATGAAGCTTAGAAGTCTTTTTTTAAAGATGATGCTAGAAAAATAATGTCTGAAAAAATGAAACCCATGACTACCTATGTTCCTACAAGGCTAGCAGCTTTTAAGTTACGACAGATTTGATGCTAGCTATAGTTTATCCTCTTAACCAAGATCAAGCACAAGTTAATGAATACTTGCCCAGCTTGGTCTGGCTGTGATTCAGTAACATAAACACTGAATCGCTTCTTTGACTCAACAGCTGCTTCTAGCACTCTGAGGACCACTCTTGAGTAGGCATGTGTCAATATCCTCTGTCAAAAAAGATAAAATATTACTTCTTGCTGAGCTTTAAAACATTTATTGCAGTTAGGGGTGTCAGGGTTTTTACTTTACTTCTGTCAATGTTAATTAATATCTAACATATGATGTTATGGTCTCAAGCTAAAAGAAGGACAGTTTAGTTTGGATATGAAGAAAAAGTTAGTTATGATAAGGGTAGTGAAGCACTGGCACAAGGTGTCCAGCGAGGTGGTGGTGCCCCATCCCTGCATACAACCACGGTGAGGGGACGGGGCTGTGAGCACTGATGGAGCTGTGGGTGTCCCTGTGCACTGCAGGCAGTTGGACTATACGAGATTTAAGAGTCTGTTCCAATTTAAATGATTCTGTAATTCTATGGTGTTGCTTGTATTCTACAGATTGTAGGAGAGGAAACTACTCTGTGAGATGGGCTTGATGTGGCAGCTCTCGTGCTACCAAAGGGCAACAATTCAGTACGTTAAATGGAACTTCATGTTGCAATGTCTCAGCACAGGTGGAGCACAGGACAACACACTGCACGGAAACAGGAGGGGAGGAGATGAGCCCTTACGAAATAAAGCCATGGCTTCTGCGAGTGCACAGGGATAATAACGTTGTTCCCTCCACCACTGCTGCCATGGATGTCGGTGAGCTTCACCCCCTCCTCCTCTGCCTTCCCAACGGCGCGGGCAGCAGAGCCGGGATGCGAGCAGCCGCCTCGGCCTACTTACAGCTCCATCTCTGATGAAGGGATGGCACAGCTTGGCGATTTTGTTCCTCGAGAGAGACACCTTCCTGAGGAAGATCTCCCCGCGCTCGATCATGATTTCTTTGCACTTGGAGTAGTCCTGGAAAGGACGGCGAGCGCTGAAGCGGCCGGCCGGCCCTGCAGCACGGGGCTCGGCGGGAGCCCGCGCCTTACCGAGTACTCCAGCGAGGTGAGGCTGATGAAGCGCAGGAAGAGCTCCCCGCCGGAGTTGACGGCCACCGACGAGTCCACCCGCGACAGCGTATCGATGGCGTCGCGCAGGCTGCTCCGCAGGCCCTGGATGGTCTCTCCTGGGGGGCGGACAGAGCGGAGCGGTCAGGGCCGGGCCTCCCCGGTTCGGGTCCGGCCGCGGGGGATCGGCGCCCACCTCGGTCCTGCCGGAGGAAGCCCAGCAGCGCGCGGATGGCGGCCACCGCCGAGGCGACGTCGGGGTCGTCCCTCAGCTGCGCCCTGAAGGTCTCGATCAGGTCTGAAAGGCAAAGGGCCGCCTCAGCTTCGGCTCATCCCGGCTCCCCCGCACCCCTCCTAGCGCCCCGTTACCCTCCGTGCTCATGGCCGCTCCCGCACTGCCGGCCCCGAGCGGCGCCCTGCGATGACGTCGTGCTCCGCGTGACGTCATCGCTGTGCGCCGCCGTCGGCGGGATGGGTGCGGGTGAGCGGCGGCGGCCGGGGGGGTCCGGGAGTGGGGGTGGGCCGGGCCGAGCCGAGCCGAGCCCAGCCCGGCTCCGGGGCTCCAGGGCTCCGGGTGCGGCCTTCTGCAGTGACCCCCTGTCTGTTTTGCAGACGAGGAGCTGAGCCTGCTGGTCATCGTCATCGACACCAACCCCATCTGGTGGGGGAAGCGGGCGCAGGGGGAGGCTGAGGTGCGTCCTGGGACGGCGCTGCGGCGGGGCCGCTCCTCAGGGAAACCGCGGTGGGAAATAGGAAAGATATTCGCAGCACAGGGCGCGGTGCCCCATCCCTGCACACAGGGTAGGGGACGGGGCTGTGAGCCTGATGGAGCTGTGGGTGTCCCTGTGCTCTGCACTGTGTGAAATTTAAGAGTCTCTTCCAACTGAAAGCATTCCATGGTTCTACAGCTGTCGAAGCTTTCCTTAGGTGTTTCCTGTTAGAAAGGAAGCTCTGTGCCTTCAAGTTCTAACTGCGGTTATGTGGGTTAGTTAACTGTAGATGTTGACTTGCTGAATTATTCTCTTTTTTTTTGGGCAGTTCACCCTGTCGAAATGTATCGACGCAGCAATGGTGCTGGGAAATTCACACCTGTTCATGAGTCGCACCAACAAACTTGCTGTGATAGCGAGTCACACACAGGAAAGGTACAGCAGCTTCTCACCACTGTAAAAACCCGAAGTGTTTCTCTATACCTCCTGATTGCATAGGAGAGAAATGATCTGTTTTTGTGCCTTACGCAAAGCAAGAAAGAGTCAAGAAAAGTGACAAAAGTTTCCCCTTTGGTTGATGTCTTTAAAATAAATTCATAAGTCTCAGAATCTACGTTCAAATGCAGGCATGGTACCTGTTTGCTAGTTTGCTTAAAATGTGTTTTGAAAGGAGGGCTGTGAACCATTTGGGGCGTGAAGATTTCCTGCCTAATGTATCCTAAATAACATCTAAAGTATTTATCTAAAGTAATTATTTGAAATTTTACTTCAAAATATTGCTGTTTGCAAGTGCTCAGCTTACGTCTTTTTTTGTCTTACAGGCTTAAAGGCAAACCACAGCACTTTGTTCTTCCTCTCTTTCAGCCGTTTCTTGTACCCTGGGAAGCGTTGGGCTTCTGCAGATCTCCTTGGAGATGGTGGTAATTCTGTGGAATCAAATTGTTCTGGCAGCAAGGATGGAAAATATGAATTGTTAACAGCGATAAATGATGCAATTGCAGAAGAGATTAAAGACCTCATGACAAAAAGTAAGGAAAAGACAATTCTAGGTTTCATAACATGGAATTGCAGACTGTTCTGAAGGAATTGTAGGAATTTCATTTCAAATGATTTTGAATGATTCAAAATCATTTGAGTTTTAATATGTTTAGAGTAGGTGAGTTTTATATGACTGATATTGGGGGACTCTGCACTAATCCAGTGTGGCAAAGATAAAACTGTAGCACTTAGTGAGATCAGGCTTAACGAATGTTTTTGTATATAAAAGTAATTTCTGTAATTTGCATTGCAGCTGACATGATGGGGCAGCAAACAGAGACTCTACTAGCAGGGTCTCTTGCTAAAGCACTTTGTTGTATCCTTTTGATGATGAACGTTTTAAAAGCTTTTGTCTGTTTCTTTGAGGTTGTTTCTTATTACGTTGATTATGCTTCAATACAGTCTCAACTATCAGTGCATTCTATAATAATTTTCTAAAGTGAAACGTTTGCCTAATAACTGTGGATTGAACAATGTGTGGTGTTTGAGGTAGTGAATTCATTGCATGGATACTGGTGTTGCTTCCATGAAAAGAACGTGGATTCCTTAACATCATCTAATGTAGACATTAACAAGATGAACAAAGAAGTGAAAGGTAATGCCTTTTGAGTGCTTCCACAAATACCTGAGTTGCAATAGCAGAAAAAAATACATATTTGCATACAAGCAAGTATGTGTATATACCCTCTAGCCCAAGATAGCTGTTTGAGCTGATGAGTAACGAACAGCCTTCAGTATTTCTTTTCTGACCAATACTTAATTGCTTTTGGACAATAAATGGAATAAGCCCACTTTCATAACAAGTTCCACAGATATTTGTCATGTATTTCTGCTGTTTTCTCTACCACCAGGACTATTAGACATTTACATTTACATCAACTGAGATAGTAGATCTATCATTTTGGATGTTAGATTAATTGGGTTTAGATTAGTTGGAATGTTAGGTAGTATAGAATTGTAAGGACAACTACAACTACAGGGAATGGATGTACTCATGTGCTTTTGTTTTCTTTTTGATAATCAGCCAATCAGGAAATGAAGTCAAGGATTTTGGTAAGAGCTTTGTTGTTAGTCTACTATTAGTCTTAAAATGCATCGATGCTACGTGGGCTAACAAGTCTCAATTGTTTTATTTAGGTCATAAAAGCTGCAGAAGACAGTGCATTACAATATATGAATTTCATGAATGTGATCTTTGCAGCACAGAAACAGGTGAAGCTGTTTGATATATATCATCTTTTATTAGTGTGTAAAGAGTGAAAGAAAATTGTTCATTTATGTTATGGCTGTGATCCAGTTAAAGAATCCTTGAAGTGAAGACTGTCGTGCCCAGAGTGAAAGGTAACCAAGTTTAAAAGTCAGATCCTACTGCTTAACATGAAGGGTTTGCTGGACTAATTAGAGATTGCTATGAAAGAATAGATGGTAGCTTTCTGTCCCACCCTGTGGGTACTGTGTACAGGATGCCTTTGCTGATGGTTCTTTTACTGCCATGCATGAGAAGGGAGGTGTTAGAAATGTGGATGTTTGTTCTGACCAAGGGAAGGAGCTTTCATACTGCTGTGGTGGTCCTGCAGTTGTGAAACATGTATGACATGGACGAGGTTACATTGTTCCTAGCTGAACTCTTTTTTTTTTTGTGGGTCTCTTGCAGAGTATTTTGATTGATGCTTGTGTCTTGGACTCTGATTCAGGCCTTCTACAACAGGTACAGGCTTCCTATTCTTATTTGCTATTTACTTTAACTCATAGATACTTGATGATATATAGCTTTGATGTATTTTAAAGCACTCAACTTTTTTTAAACCAGAAAAAGAGACAATATTACACCCTTCTGTGTGACAATGTCTGTGTATTTTACATTGGTAAAACGCTATCTCTTCTTCACAGTCTTTTTGTGCCCTCCTATTTTGTAACAATTTATTATAGTTTTGTTTTGTTTTTCCTTCACTAGTAGAAACTGTTGCCTTCCTTTTAGGACTGAACTATCTGATCATTCTCTCTGCATTCCAGGCTTGTGACATTACAGGAGGTATATACTTGAAAGTGCCCCACCTGCCATCCCTCCTGCAGTATTTGTTGGTATGTCTTCACATGCTTTTTCCTATGTCAGATGTGAAATCATACTGACTTCAATGGCATGGTAATACAGCAATTTCCACACTATTTTTTTTTTCTTTCTGTTTCTATAGTGGGTATTTCTCCCTGATCAAGAGCAAAGATCACAGCTTGTGCTTCCACCTCCTGTTCATGTTGACTACAGAGCTGCATGTTTCTGTCATCGAAATCTCATTGAAATTGGTTATGTATGCTCTGTGTGCTTGTCAAGTAAGTTTATAATTATGAGTTTAACTTCCTACATTCCAAATGAATTATTTTAGTGACAGCTAATTCTTTTATTTTCCAGTATTCTGCAACTTCAGTCCTATTTGCAGTACATGCGAGTAAGTATTTCTTCTTACTTAGGAATGGGTGTGAAAATATGTTTGTTGTAATTGACAGTTCCTTTTCATATTATTTCAGGACTGCTTTCAAAATATCACTGCCACCTGTCATGAAAGCTAAGAAGAAGAAATTAAAGTTAGCTGTTTAACAATGCAACTTAAACACACCATTACCTCCTCCTGTAATTCCATGAAGTGGAACATACTTGAGAAATTGATGACACTTTTTACAGGATATGAAAGAGATCTGTATGTGGTCTTACGGCTTTTTTTGTTAAAGCATTTAAGTCATGTTTTCTCTGTAGTAACAAATCACTGTATTAGCTTGTAATCTGTGCTGGTTTAAATACTGATTATGCATTGTAATTAGAACCAGAAGTTACAGGTTGTTAAGATACAGATCTTGCAAAGCTACAAGTATTCTTGCTGCTGCAGTTTCAAACCTCCAAGTTATTTTCAAAGACAAGAAAGCTTTGATTGTTTTTAATCACACGTTGGTGTAGAGGGAAGTTACAACCACTGCTGATGTCTGAATCTCAGCACTGCTATTCAAGGAATTCAGTGTTCTGTGAGCTTTCAGTGGCTGTATGGGCACTGAAATGGGGTCAGCTTCTGAAGAAGAAAGCCAAATGTTTCAAGATGGCTTAGAACACACCTTCCTGTTCAGGGTGTGAATTCTCTGGCACATACAGATTCATGTTGTCATATTCTTTTATTCCCTTTGTGCTTCTCTTGAATAGCTGCTCCTCAGCAGATGAGTATCACTGGAACAGTAATATGGAGGTACCCTTTCTAGGGGAGTTTTGAACAGAAGACCACATTTATGTGTAAGAAGGGGCTTATTTTTGTAAAATGACATCACTAAATGTACATTAGGTGGTTAGACTTCAGTGCAGTGCTTTGAAACTGGAAAGGTTTTGGATCAGTGTGTTTCGTATTGGAGTATGGGGATGTATGGTGAGCTTCCATGTGCTGCTTTGGTTAAAAAGGCACAAATTGATCTCCTGTGTGCCACGTCCAGCTGTGCGTCTGCCTTCGGTCAGTGCTGTTCTCATCAGAGCCCATCCTCGTCGCCAGGAGCCATTTTGTTAGAAGGCTGTATCTAGAATTCACTTTCTACAAAACCTTTTGAAATAAAGGCAGCTCTTTTTACAAACGCGGATGCCGTCCGTCGTGCTGGCTGTTTGTAAGGCTGTTTGTAAGGCGGGGCGGCGCGCTGTGACACGGCGGGCGCTGCCTCAGCGCTTCCCGCCCTCCCGTTGCCATGGCAGCGGCACTGCCGCCTCAAGATGGCGGCCCGGCGGCGCCGCGCTTCCTGACGCCATGGCGGCCGCCGGGCTCGGGGCGCTGCTGCTGCTGCTGTTGGCGGCTCCGTGCGCGGGGCAGCGCCATGGGGAGCCCGGTGGGTGGGAGGGAGCGAGGGGAGGGGAAGGGAAAGGAAGGATGGAAGTGAGAGGAGAGAGGGCCGCGCGCGAAGGGAAGGAAGGACCGCAGCACCCTGCGGGGGCTGAGGGGGCACGGCCTGGCGTGCCTCGCAGGTGTGGTCGGTTTCTGTGTGTGTTACAATGTGATTCTTTCACTCTCTCTCTTTTTTTTTTCCCTTTCCTTTTTCCCGCCCAGTTTTTCAGCCTTCCTTTATCCACATGTCTGGGCTAAGAGTTAATTCGTTTTTTCTTGGAGATTCTTCAGGAGTTGATTTTTCCATTATTGTAGGTGCTATAGATAAAGAGACAGGTAAGAACGCTTTATTTACATGCTATTTCGAAAATAATAATAATAAATATATTTGAATTCTTTTTTTTTTTCCTGCCACTAAAACTACCCAAGTAACCACAGTGCAGTTTGTAGAACCATCACAGAGCTGTTTGATTTGGGAGGGTCCCTCTGATGGACATCCCCATTCCCACCGCCTGCAGTGCACAGAGACAGCAGCCCCCCAGGCTCAGAGCCCATCCTGCCCTGCTGGTGTGTCCAGTGCTTTAATAGTCACTGAAATCCAACCTCTGAAGGACTCTGTGCTCAGGCTGTTACTCCTGTGCTGACTCTGTGTCATCCGGGCTGAGGGATGTGCTTGCTTGAAGCCACGTGAGAAGTTTGAATTGACAGTGACATAGATACATTTTAATTTTTATTTTGGTATAGGAAAGGTGCAAGTTCCAAGCTGCACTGGAAGTGAAAGAGTTGGTGATTGGGATTTGAGTGTAACGCCTGGTGTGGTATGTGAAACACTGATTCTTCCCTAAAATAGGAAAGCTTGAGCAATCATATATTAAAGGCTGGTGAAGTGCTAACGTAATACTAGTTTACTAACAGCTCAGTTAGAGTGCCTTCCCCTTGCCTTTTTGCCTTTGTCATGTCCCATCATCTGGATACCCAAGTTGGAAGTTGCTAAGGTACAGCTTTGACACTAGTTTCTTGTCTTCCACCTTTCCAGAACTGCCTATGCTTCCTGGCAGGTAATGGTACAGAGAACAGTAATTTGATACAAGCTGTTGAATCTGTCATTTTATGTTTTGCAGGGTGCATCCAAAGTGACTGTAACCTTCACTAGAAGTCTGCAGTTATGTTTGCCCAATGCCACTGACTGCTGCACAACACCTCTCTGTGTGGTGGAAACACTTCAGGTTCTAGCTTGCAGTGGTTCAGTGATGCTGGCACATCTCCTAATTCAAGCTGAAATATATGCTAACTCTTCCTTTACAGGAAATGTGTCAGGTAAGTGTTTTGATATTCTGAAGAAGAAATGGTATTTACTTTATATACAAAAAAACAAAAACAAACAAACAAAAAAGGCATTTGGACAGCAATGATTAAATTTCCTTAGCATTTAAGGATAAAGAATAAGCTGTAATGCATGTGGTCTGCTTCTTGGGATTCCATTCTACGTGATCTGATTTTTCTCCTCTTTTCTCGTAATTCTTTTATAGAAAATGCATCTGTTATCCCTAACCAGGTGTTTCAGCCCTTGGGCTCATGTCCTTGTGACTTGTCAGATGGAGCTTGTGATGTTCGTTGTTGCTGTGATCCGGTACTTGTTTCATATTAAACTTTAATGAAATGTTTTCAGAATTTCTACACTCCTCCTATTGTCTGAGAGAGAGAGAGAAAGAAAATTACTGAGTATTTCAAACTAGAAGGAGTGTTTGCCTGTTTGTTTGGTTTTTTTTTTTTTTTTTTTTGTATTTCTAATAGTAAATATGACATCAGTCTATAGAGCTGGCTTGGTTACCTGCAAATACAGCATTAGTGGCTGTGGTAGTGCAATTAGTGCTCTAAGACTTTTTTTTTCCCTTCCAGGAGTGTACACCAGACTTGAAGCAGTTATTCAATAGATCATGTTTCACTGGAGTGTTTGGTGGGGATGTAAATCCACCTTTTGATCAGCTGTGCTCTACAAAGACAACAGAATATGCTCCTGATTGGTTTCCTCTCCTCTGTGTACAGTCTTCTCTTAGCAATACTCCATTTCTTGGCTACTTTTATGATGGCTCTATGTAAGTCTGAAAATATTTATTAACACACATTTTAGACATCTTGTTGAAACTGTAGCATGTTTTTTACAGTGCAAGTTATTTTGAAGTTATAATTTTAACCTGGAAACTTTAAATGCAAATGGAGAAATATAATTGGTACTTTATGAGAACATGGGACTTGAAGGCAGATGTTTAATTACCTGTGTAATGTAAAGGAGTAAAGAATTGTTTCATTTTTGAACTTATTTGCAGTTCTGCACCCAAAGTTCTTCCATTTAGGATCCCTGTACAAGCTTCTCCTGGGAAACTCTTCACTGGTTACAGACCAGGAGATCCAATTATGACAGAGGATGATGAGTATTTTACCATCCCTCAGGTAATTGCTTCGTATTTAGGAGCTTCTGATTCCTCTTGGCTAGTTTGAAATTCTCCATTTATCACATTCTTCTGTGTTTGTAACCAAATTCTGTAAATTGCTCTTGTGAACTAGAATATATTTTTCACCAAGCACACAATCATTGTTAAAAACAATCATTATCTTTCCTAATCCCCTGCCCACTCCTGGTAATGTTGTGGTAATGTTTTAATTATTTCAAGAGATAAAAACAAGATTTGCATCCCAATTAGTGCTTTGTGGCTTCTTTATTTTTTCCTCTCTGCCTGCTGCATTGCTGACCACTTGTTGCTTTCCCTTTGTTTTATCTGGCTGTATTCTTGTTTTAAGTTCTTCTACATGTTACAGATTTGCTAGTTAGAATTGGTTTATCAAATTTTGATGACTCCAGACTGCACTTTAAAACTGATAGCTTTCGAAATAGTTACATCCTCTCTTTTCTGCAGATTACTTGTTTGTCAATCACATGTGGCTGTAGTGCATATTTGGGGCATTTCATTGACAAATGTGCTATTTCCTAGCTTTTCATTTTAAGGCTAACCCACATGTTTCTGTTCAACTACCTGCAGCAGTCCCTGGCAGGGCTGTGTGTTGGAAACGCCCCTGTAGCCTATCTGCAGGACTTTGATGTGAAGTGCCTTTCTGAGGCAGCATCTTACAAGGAAGGACTGCCCCATGATGTGAGAATCAACAGTGGAACAGGAGGTGTGTTGTGTAGTCCTAACAGAAATGGATTTATGTTCCTCAGAGATAGAATAAATGAGAGAACTGTTGACATAGCACCTACATGGCTATAGTTCAGAGTTTAGGGATGCTATAGTTCTATTTCTGATCACCTACCAAGCTTCCCTAAGATTTAGGACAGGAGAAATAGTGGGATTAGCCTTTGTTTCTCATTCATCTGTTTCCAGTGGCTGCACAAGGAAGCATCTCTTACTGCTTTTGTATTCTTGTAGCCTCCCTTTTCTGTCAAGAGGGTGCAGTGTTGTCACTTTAGAAGTGCTTATATTTATGCTTTTGTAATGCAGAAAGTAAGAAATGTCACTCTGCAGTTTGAGATGATGTAGCTACCAGCATGAAGAGAATTTATTTTATGCTGCTTAATTAAGTTGTCTAATTTTGTTTATTTATTTAATCTCACAACCTTAGTAAGATTAAGAGATAACACATAACCTGCCTGGTTCATTACCAAAACTAGCTTTCTAAATACTTTTCTGCACAATTTCCATAATGAAAAGGAGCATACCTTGGATTTGGAAATCTTGCATGCTTCTTTTATCAGGATTACTGCAGTGTTTGTTTTTTATTCTCAGACTTCATCCAACAAAATGTGATCTACAGAACCATCGCTGACACGGGCAAATTCATCACTAGAAGTGGTATGTTTCTGCTGTGTAATTTGTGTGTTTCTTACTTAACCTGGATGACACGAGTGACTGGGGTACCTAAAACCTGTCATGGTTCCTAGGAAGGATCTTGTAAGTTTTCTAATGTTTGAAATAAAACAGGTAGGGCAGGCAGCCTGTAAGCAGTACTGGATGTGTCTGTGTTTTGAACACTCTTGTGCTTTCTTAAGGATCTTGAGCCAATGAAGCAGCTTTTATTCTAGAATAGTGGCTCCCAGACAATGAGGGGAGGGTAATGCAGGATTGTGTTGAATCCATACTAGCATGTTTTTTCTGGGAGATGATGGCTCTCTCAGTGGGCTGAGATGAAAGGAGAGGAACTCCTGAGTCCAGAGAGCCCCAGCAGCTGATGGAGTAAAGCCTTGTGCTGGGTTCTTAAGGAGAGGGTTTACTACAACAGGAACTGGAACTGCAGGTGTTAGAATATTGAGAAACAAAGGGACTCTGCTGTAAATGCAGCACGCTGTCCTTGTATGATGGGACTTAAACATTAAAATAAATGCCAAAAAGATAAATGATATATTTTCCAGAACTTTGTTAGAGATTTTAAAGTTATTTTTCAGTTACAGCTTTCTATTTGGCAATGCTTTTGATTATAGTGTGTTTTTTCTTTCTTCTGCAGAAGGCCTTCCTACAGCGGGGGTTCCATGTCAAAATGTAACCTTTGCAGAACATTATGTATTCATGTGGGAAGATGACAACATAGAGGGAGTAAATGTCACAGTCTTCCTTGGAAGTTTATGTGATGGAGGTATCAGGACATTTTTTTTACAGATTTTCTATTTACTTTTTTATTTCTTAAGTGTGCAAATTCTTTGATAGGATATCTTACTTAGTAATATTAATTGAAAAGAATTTGCTTTGGGCTCTGGCAAGAAAATGT